TAAAATGTTGTTTAAATATAAATTAGATTTCATCACTATATCAAACCGCTGAGGTTAAAAATATCGAGAGTCTATTACATTTACAATAAGCATACATGCAAACGTGTTCTTTAAGCTTTACACGGAATATATGAAGAGACCTATATAAGCTGACCATTATGAAGTGGTCAAAAATATTCATAATGAAATTCATTTTATTCTAGTCTAGAAAACTCAAGGTGTATCGTGAACCAGATAAATATAATCAACCATAAATTGTTTTATACCTAAGGAAGCTATCAATATTTTTTTTGATGGGTTTATAAATATTTACAAGCTATTAAACAGTTAGAACTAATACTTTGTTTTCTTCTCTATACATATAAACATAACAAAACAACAAGATTGTTAGTTCATTCAATCGTTTCCCACGATCGCTTTCTCTTGATGCTAAACTTGTATGTAGGTATATGAGTCAGAGTCTATTTTATACCTCAACATCAATCATATAGTCTATATCAATACACGATCTGATAAGCCCATCAGGCTTGCCTACCTGTATGATCTCCATAGAGATACTATTTGACGTAAAACTGAAAGCCTGTGATGCAAGTTGAGTCAGCAATGTTAAAATATATATTAACACTATTTTGGAAGGGTTGTTAAAATCTTTGTTGCCGTTGCATCGCATCTTATTATTGTACCGAATGACATTTAAAATTTGAATGCAAATGGTTCTTATTATTGTTCAAACGTCTGAATTGGCATATTAACTAGCCTCGGCTCTGAATTAAAGGAAAGAAAGAGGTTTTATATAATGTCATGTCTGAATTCCATGTACTATTTTATTTTACATGAAGATTATATGTTCCATTATTGATAAAATAAAGTTTGCAACGGGAATGTATAAGGTGGTTTCGGGGTGGGGGGGGGGATACAATCTAAGATTGGTATACCTACCCATAGTACAAAAGAACATTTAAGGTAGTGGTTCACATGCTTACTGTTTAAGAAGTAGCTGGAATTTAAAGTAGATTAATTTATAATATCAAATCGGGCGAATTAAGATAAGGTTCACATTTTGTTACATGCGTTTAAATATCCCCGACGTAACATTCGTTAGTGTGGTCATTCAATTGACATTTATTAATCAAGTTATTTGACAGTTCAAAATGATCAAACGTGTTCGAGAGATCACATCTAATAATGCCTTATTTACAGAAAATTCAGTCGCCCTGCATTTCATTATAACCGATGTCACCGTCATTGTGTGACCTACACACGGGGGTGGAAACCCATATGAATCTCAAAAATGAGCATCGGTAAAAATGATATGTGAATTTCCGCTGCACCAGATGTGAAGCATAACATCAGATGTGACTGGAAAAATAGGCCGGTCGCAGGGTAAGTTTTCATCTTTTCAAACATTTATATAAAATTCAATCCTTTTTTTTAAGAAAATCGAAATGTCATTCTACCCTCCTGACTCTCCTCTTTATTACCCCTTGTTGTTTTGAATTTCTATGCAGTCTTCATCGAGATATTCTTTCCGTCGTGGGTTCTGGTGTGTCCAAAACATGCAATATGAATGAAGAAAATGTCACTAAACGGACTAAAAAAAACATAGATTTTACGAAATCTCACTACAGGTCGATGCTAAACATTCAAACAAATCCTGGTTTAAATATTTATTGAGATTTGGCTACATACAAGGGAATCGCTGCTCAAAATTGCATTTGAGCTCCAGATGTGCTGAAGAGATTCATAAGTGATGTAGAAAACCATCTACAAAACTACGGACCTCTTCCATATAATCATTGAATAGCCAATGTATAGAAACAATATAGGTTTTGCATCTTTGGCTGAAAGTTTAATTGTAACATTAGTGTGTTTGATTACCACAGTGACAGAGCTTACTAGCTTATACTAGCATTAGAAATACTAAAAGGCTCGAGTACATGAAAATGTTGACGCAGAGCGAATAGTACTCTTATGAGTACCTATCGTGTCATATAATATGTTTCTTTAATAATGTTTACATACATAAAAATATCTATAACTTTATTATTCCACAACTGTCTATCTGTTCATTGCAACTGACTTTATTTTTCTTTGCAAATCCTTTCTGTGGAGAACATTTCATGGGACTTAATAGTTGTGAATTGAATATTAAGCGTTTTTTCTTTGAATTGGAAAAAGTAATACGTGCGCTTTCTGGTGAATTCTTGGACTTTGGAGTCTGCGATACGCGGAATCTTTTGACACATGGGGACAATTTAAAAGGCGAAAAAAGGATATGTAAGCGCTGATGACTTCCTCTTTTCACGATACACATGACGTTTTATTCTTGAAAGTTTTAAACCTTTCTTTTTGTGCCTAGAAAACGACCCATTTTCCTGAAAAATAACAAAAGAAACGAATTACGAAAGTGTTTATAATTTACAGTTCCCACTGAAATAACAGTTATAAAGCGGAGAATAAGTTTAGTGATCTTTTTGCGTACACGAACATTTTCAGGAAACAATCTATGTGCATTATGAGCTACGCATGTCCGCTCAATACGGTTAAGATATGTTAAAGTTTCTTTAAAACCATTCAAAGAATTGAAGAGCAGGCACAAAATTCAGATAGGCATTGACCCATAGTTGCGACTGTGGGCATGAAGTGAACCATGTAAATATACTGCAGGGACGTTTCTTCATGTGGAAAATAAATATGCAAATCTTCTTTGATCTTTTTTTAAAAGTTTATCACTAACTTTCTTACAGCATCATAACAAATTCAAACACGCTTCACATTACTCTCCTATTAAGCAGACAGTGCAATTGAGTGAATAATTAATTAATTTAGTTAATGCATGGTGGCATAAAAAGGGAAAGATTGCAGTACACACAACGTCAATAAGTCAAAAAAGGCCTTCCCACCATATCTACGTATATTAAAAACCTTTCGTATGCAGCATGTCTTATATCTCTTTCTATATGGATACTATGTTATTCAAGCTCGTCTCGTGAAAATGTGTCTATTTCGGATAATAGTATTTATTACAGAATGATACACAATAGAATTAATTCTAGATTGTTGCAAATTTTTAATGCTATGCACATATGAATCTCTTCAGCACATCTGGAGCTCAAATGCAATTTTGAGCAGCGATTCCCTTGTATGTAGCCAAATCTCAATAAAAATATAAACCAGGATTTGTTTGAATGTTTAGCATCGACCTGTAGTGAGATTTCGTAAAATCTATGTTTTTTTTAGTCCGTTTAGTGGCATTTTCTTCATTCATATTGCATGTTTTGGACACACCAGAACCCACGACGGAAAGAATATCTCGATGAAGACTGCATAGAAATTCAAAACAACAAGGGGTAATATAGAGGAGAGTCAGGAGGGTAGAATGACATTTCGATTTTTCTTAAAAAAAGGATTGAATTTTATATAAATGTTTGAAAAGATGAAAACTTACCCTGCGACCGGCCTATTTTTCCAGTCACATCTGATGTTATGCTTCACATCTGGTGCAGCGGAAATTCACATATCATTTTTACCGATGCTCATTTTTGAGATTCATATGGGGTTCCACCCCCGTGCTACAGTAAACATTAGTTATTTGTGAAATCCCGGATTGATACTAGTATGTTCGTATATAAATAATGTACTGTATTGAAAATATTTAAGACTCTTTTAATATTTACTTACAAAAGTATTAACAGAGGTGTTGCTATATTGCATTTATATAATTTAGTTAAAGTGTTTGTTTATTAAATCGGGGTGTATACTTATTTACAAACAAATGTACTACTGCTGACAAATTTATGTATTATGAGTCAAAATTGCCACTTGATAACAGGGTATCAATTACAGTACTGATTATTGACATTTTGCTGTCAGACGTTCATTACGATTCAATTAGTGCTGAAGGTATTTAAATGGCTGTAGTCAGTTCAATGAAAAGTTCACTTATTTACTTAAAAGGCTCCAGGTAATTCACCCAGTCACTTATTTACTTAAAAGGCTCCAGGTAATTCACCCAGTAACAAGTACATGGACTTTCTAGTACCATGAACATACATAATTATATATTGTGACCAGGTAATGCATATCGTTAAGCTAGAAAATATGACAAAGATATAGTTGATAAGGATTGAGGTAATCACAGACAATGAACTTCATGTAGATCATAAGGGTCAGATTTGTTAATGTGACAAGACTCATCACCTGTACAGTTCAGCCACTTTAAATAGATGGATTTTCTAGTTTATGTACCCAATTGTTTATACATTTGCCATTTTCCGTCACCCTGCTGCCCTTCCAGGACTGACAAAACAGAGGAACAGGGTACATCCATATCCCAATGATAGAAGTGAAATATTAATTCCATGACACTTTCAATAACCATGTCGACATCAGTTTTGTCCACAGGCAAAAGTATCGGACCTGGGAAGAAAAAATATGACCAGATTGATAAAAAAAACAACCTGTGTTCATCTTAAAAAGTGTCAAAAAAAACAACAAAAAAAATGTAAATAATGCTCTTAACTTATAGTATATTTTTAAAGGGGTCATTATATACATTTTTTTTTTATTTTTTTCTTCCCAGGTCCGATACTTTTGCCTGTGGTTTTGTCACCAGTAAATACGTTGTTAATTCTAATTGCATTTTTTATGCTGAATAATCACTACTGCAGTAGTAAACTTTCACAAATATGCAACCAACTTGAAAGCTGGTTCTTAGTAATGTATTATTAAGTGCAGTGAGTGTGGGAGTAAATTGCATAACACTTGGCAAGTTGCCATGCAGTATATATTATAACATAACTTGTTTTACATTAGCTGATGTTTTTACAATTCTTTCCTTGTCAAATTTTCATCAAATAATCTATGTTCAACTAGGTATCAATTCAAAAATATGTGTACTCACAGTAACTACCTATACATGTACTGATTCTTAAACTTTTCTTTAGCAAAGTTTTCATTTTTTTCCAAATAAAGATAGATTTAAAGAAAAATACACAAAATAACTGTTTTAACAGTTTAATCATACCAATAAATTTCAACAAATGTTTTAAACAAATATCATTGACACTTACTGGTACATAATTACAATCATCAATCTAAAAACTTAGATTAACTAGCATCAAATAACAGTTATAAATGAAAATAAACATAAATAAAGATTATTGTTACAGGGCAAATAAGCACAGCCATATATGCCTTAAAAGTCAACATAATACATCTACAACAAAATGTGTTTTTTTTTAATTTAACCAGTATCTTTAAAAAATCCTGGTGTATTAATGATTAGTGTTTCTCCTAGGCTTTATGTTATACATTACAACCAACATAAAACTTGTTAATAACTTTTTCAATGTAGATGTAATTCTTTTTTCCGAAATAATGTGAAACAGTTAACTTTATTTTTGAAATAAAAATCAATTTTCTTTTTACTTCAAATTTTTTGAAGTTGTTTTTCGAAATATAGCTTCACTTAGTTTTTTACCATATACAATAAACAAACACTCAACACTAAATGTGTACCTTCTTTAGGCCAAATATAACTTTGGTGTATATTGATACTAACACAAAAATAATATAGTTTATCACATACTGAACATTACATAGAAGGCAGTTAAGTGTGGCATTATGGCACAAACATTACATTGTATTTGCACAATACAATACAATCACTTATCAGTATTTGACATGAATGCCCATTTAAACATGTTAGCAATATTGTCACATTAATTATCCTCATCATTAAATACTATGATTATACCATGGTATAAATGGGTATTTACATTACATGACTTAATGATATTGTATGTACATATATACACTCTGGTTGATAAAGATTACACTAATCTAATACTGATATGCTGTTTCAAGAGTCTGGTAAACAGTCTGACAAAATTTCTTTAGCACTAGATGTCATTTTACTTGGGAATCTAATGTCAAATTCCACTATTAGATCTCCTCTTCTTGCAGATTGTTTTGGTTGAGGTAATCCTTCACCCTGTATTCTCTTCAACATGTTAGGTTTTATAACTTCATTGAGACGTAGAGGTATATTACGACCATCTATTGTTGGCACCTGAAGTGTTGTTCCACAAAGAGCCTGAAATAGATTTAAAAAATATTGTCAGGTTTAAGGTTTAAACTTTTAAATAAAACATTTTAATTTTCATGGATACTGGTGTTAGTTCTTTCAATTAGTCAAGTATCAAAATGGTTACCTGTATATATTACAACTTGAAACATGCACTGACAAAAATTGTTAAGAGATCTATAACCTTGCAGTGTAAAACATATTAATTTGTTGATGAAATTTAAAGTTTAACTACTTAAAATTGTTTTCACAAGGTTAGTTATTGTGAAGGTAGATCTATATGTATTAATAAATTTGAAAGTTTTAAAAGTAATCAATCTAAAGAAATTTCTTAATTTGTCTAGTATACATACCTGCTTTAATGAAATTGAAGCTTTGTATCTAATATCACTCCCATCTCTTGTAAACATTTGGTGTGGCTTGTCTTTAATCACAAAAATTATATCTGCTGGAACATTATTTGGAGTTTGATCACCTTCCTTTGGAAATGTTATTTTTGTTCCAGCTTTCCAGCCTGGTTTTACATCAATAGTTAAGATTTTATCTTCAGTCCTTGTTGAACGTCCATCTGGATTTAAAACTTTTCTAGTAATTTTCAATTTCTTTGTAGTTCCTTTATAAATATCTTCTAATGATACTTGCAAGTCTCTGACAACAGCAGTGTCTTGATGTTTTCTGCGTGGCATACCATGACCAGGCATGCCACCACCAAACCCACCGAAGTGCTGTCCAAAAGGATCATCGTCAGTTTCCATGGATTCTTGGCCACCTCCAAATCTTGCTTGCCTAAATCCTTGACCACCTGGACCTGATCCAAAACTAAAGAAATTTGCAAATGGATCTTCGTCTCCAAAGAACATTTTAAATGTCTCTCGTGGGTCTCCCTGGTAAGTGTAATGGAACCCTCCAGGTGCACTGCCACCCTGGCCTCCACCACCTCCACCTCCTGCTTTAAGCCCTTCCTCACCATACTTGTCGTAAATTTCTTTTTTGTCTTTATCACTTAAGACATCATATGCTTCCGAAATTTCTTTGAATTTTTCCTCAGCGTTTGGTGATTTATTTTTGTCCGGATGGTATTTTAGAGCCATTTTTCTGTAGCCCTTTTTAATTTCCCCCTCATTTGCCGTTCTCGGGATACCAAGAACTTTGTAATAGTCCTTTCCCATGTTGTCAGTTATCACTAATATCCAAAATCTTCAGCTATACTTATTATATTAAACAACAGTCTGTGTTCTCAAACAAATGACGTTACTGTGTATATAACCGCTCTTTAAAATACAACGGAAAGAGCTGTCACTTGCGCGAACGTTCTAGATTATTCTAGACTATGAACGTCACATCCGGATTTAAACCAATCAGAGGAAGATTTATTTTTAACATCCAATGCAATATCAGCATTCACTATGGAAAACCGGAAAAAAGTAGGTCATTGAAGTAAATAATGACCTTGACACTTTCAGGGAGAAATAATTTTATATGTTCATATATCAGATATAGATTATAAGAGTACTTGAGTTTGATACATGAGAGATCAATTTTATTACAAAAAAAAAATAAACAGAATGACTTATTTTACAATCACATAAAACTTTTTACAAATTAATTTTCAGGCATATTACTATTAGGAAGAGGATAATTGTTATTCCCTCAAAATGGCCTCCACATCAAAAACCACGATGGGATCGGAATCTTTGATCCCTAGGCCCAACATTTCCCAGATAAAGAATAAACAATTACGACAAGAAATGTACCGAAAAATGAAGCAAGAGAAAAGGAAGGTTTGAAGTTACATTTTTACGTCTACACATAGAGTATCAGTAAAGATTAAAGTGACATAATATACGAATGAATTTCAATTCGGATATACTAGGTTCCTATGATATCAAGGGTTCTATGATATCAAGGTATTTAAATTTTCTGTCACTGCTAGTAAAAGCAACACATGATGATGCTAATAGTTGTAAAACTTGCACACTAGATTCATTTTCATCTGCCAATAAATTTAATTTGGTGAATAGTGAATGTATTTGTGGCAAGAAAACTATTTTATAAAACCTTCATATTTGACTACCATTTTCCTTAGTGGTTTTTACACAGTCAATTAAAATATGTTATAAACACATATACTGATATATAGTCTGTTCATATAATTTTAATTTTATAGTAAGTTAACTGATGGAAGTTTTCCACAACTTAACTTGAAAGTTTTGACCCATCAATCCTTACATATCTGCTTTTTTTGGGGATTACCTTGATACTGTAGTAACCTCCTCTGAAATGACCCAAAATGGCAGGCATTGAAAATATTCTTAAAAATGTCATTTTTATTGGTTTTTGAAATAATTTTATGACAAACAGTTCTGGAAAAGGTTCAATTTTAAGATGGAAGAAAAATCTCATTCATTTATGATATTTATCTTCAAATATTTTCCGTTAAACGTTAAGTACCTTGATATCATAGAACCCCGGGCTACAATAAGTTTATTAGTATTTTTGTAGAGGGGCAATCAGATATTTGAGTTTTTCACATATCCTGATAAATGAAGTCAATGCACATTGCTTTTCATAGTTTTTTTTTAACCTTAGATATATACAATTGTTAAATGGGGCTAGACTAATGACTCAGTCATGCCTGCAACTATTTACTAAATAGCACTTTGTGGAAAGAAGTTCTAAATAATTTAGAACTTCTTTCCACAAAGTGACAAAATTATTTCTTCAGTCTTAATCAGTTTTTTGTTCTCGGTTTACTTCTAGGGTTACAGTTAAGGGTTAGTGTTACGGGTTAGGGTTAGTGTTATTGATAAGGGTTAGAGGGTTACGGTTATGATTATAACACATGAATTTTGCTGCTTACAGATTATAAAAGTGCTCAGTTAGATGGTTAAATTGTCCTTTTTCTTATACATGTATGAAATATTTATGTGTCTACATCTTAATATGAAAAGGATGTTAACATCAAATTTTCTTTTCCAGGAAAAGATAAAAGAGAAGAAAAGGAAAATGAAAGAAGCAAAAGAATCTGGAGTTGAGGTGTGATATTTTTAAATTTAAGTAACTATTACCTCATAGAGTTTCATATCTATGAACTCAATTTTATCTTGTACAGAATTTGTTTATATTTGATTGATGAATGGATGTTCATTTTATTTATTCCTATAAAGATTTGGAGGACCTTTAAAAATCATTTTCTCAAAATAAAAATCATAAAACAACTGCTACACAGTCATAAAATACTAAACAAATAAATTTGAGAGTTGAATGTATGTTTCAATTTCATTATAGGTTCCTAAACAGGTCCCCAAGACCATTGAGAACATGAGAGTTCCAGATGAAACCATGGTTAACCAAGAAGATGAAGAGGTATGTCTGAACATTTTCTCTGATTTATAAATACTTTCCAGCAATCAGAAGAAAAGAAATAATTTAGAATTTTTCTTTCTAATCTGTTGTTTGTTAATGATTAATTAAGATTTGTTTTATTGTTCTTGAAATGTATACATTATGATGATGATGATAATGATAAAAAAAATAATTATAATAAAATTTAAATATTAGGCACTGAACGTAAAATGTTAAAGCTCAGTTATGATTATAAGAATTTACTCATTAAATACTGAACATATGCTGGGTTATCCAAAAATATCTCTTGAACGTCAACGTGTATTGTAATGAAATTTTATCAGCATACATTGTAGAATATTATCAACACATTTTGAAAAGAACAGTTAATTGTGTCAATAAATAATGATTTTATATTGCTTTTAAATAAGCACATACACGGCACCCGGCGCACGGTAGAAAAGCGCAGTAAGTCATCGTATATTCTTTGTTAAAAAACTAAAAAATTAACGTAGAAAACCCGCTGAACATCGCATGTTTCTTCAATGATATCATTTAAGTAATTCTATAAAATAATGGACGTCATTTCCGTTTATTTTTGTTGATATCGTTAGAAACTCCAGGCGCCTTTATTGTTTACAACGGGAAAATGACGCACACGCGGTAATTAGAAAATCACGCGATTATAAAGCAATCATAAATTTTTGTTGTAATTTGGGAACGACACCTACAAAAACATTTGATAAAAATCAGCAGACGAACAGAGAAAAGAAAATTTCACGATCATTAGTGTTAAAGTGGCATAAGAAATTTAGTGATGGACATTACTTCGAGAAGCAGTAACTGTCTTTGACTGCGTAACGTTGAAGCACAAGTTGTATGTTAATATTATGACTTTGACATCAATAACTTTTTTGGAGTGCGACGCTGTCACCGACATGTGTTTATGTAAAATTGAATAATGTTGTAATGTATGAAGCTACTCACATGAATTTGCCTGTGTTTATTTGTTATTGTGTCGCCTCTACGGAGTAGTGGCGACATATAGGGATCACTTCTCCGTCGTCTGTCTGTCCGTCTGTCTGTCTGTCCGTCTGTCCGTCCGTCCGTCACAAAACTTGTCCGGACTACTCCTCATAAACTACTGGTGCAATTTCATCCAAACTTTACAGGAATGATCAGTACCAAGTCTAGTTGTGCATATTGTCAGGATTTTCCGGTTCAATGTTTTTTGTCAGAGTTATGGCCCTTTAATAATTTTTAATTTTAAAGTTTGTCCGGACTACTTCTCTTATACCACTTATGCAATTTCAATGAAACTTTACAGGATTGATCTGTAGCTCAAGTCCTTGCGCATATTGCACGGGTTTTCCGGTTGAATGATTTTTGGCCGAGTTATGGCCCTTTGATAAAAAGGTTTCTTTTTCTGTGTGTTGCCAGATACACAAAAGCTTGTCCGGACTACTCCTCATAAACTACTGGTGCAATTTCATCCAAACTTTACAGGAATGATCAGTACCAAGTTTAGTTGTGCATATTGTCAGCATTTTCCGGTTCAGTGATTTTTGTTTGAGTTATGGCCCTTTAATAATTTTTATTTTTAAAGTTTGTCCAGACTACTTCTCTTATACCACTTATGCAATTTCAATGAAACTTTACAGGATTGATCTGTAGCTCAAGTCCTTGCGCATATTGCACGGGTTTTCCGCTTGAATGATTTTTGGCCGAGTTATGGCCCTTTGATAAAAAGGTGTTTTTTTCTGTGTGTTGCCAGATACGCAAAAGCTTGTCCGGACTACTCCTCATAAACTACTGGTGCAATTTTATCCAAATTTTACATTAATGATCAGTACAAAGTGGTTAGTCTAGTTGTGCACTGTCCGTCTGTCTGTCCGTCTGTCACAAAATTTGTCCCAACATGAAATTGGCCATCATGAGGCGACACATGTGATTACTGATCGCTCTTGTTAATTCCTCTAAGCAGTGTAAGAATTTCAAATTAATATCTCAAATATATTTTACGCAACAAAGAAAGTCCACGAAAATTTAGATAACCCCTCGTATATATACATTTTGTGTAAAAATCATGTATAAATAAGTTAACACTATTTGAATGAATACAGTTCTAATACAGAAATAATGTACTCATTGTTAGATTACATGTTTACAAAGTACATGTACTGTATGTTTTATTGTCTGTGTATGTTGATATAGAAATAGGCTCCGTCCGTCCGTCTGTCCGTCCGTCTGTCCGTCCGTCCGTCACACTTTCGTGTCCGGTCCATAACTTTGTCATTTATGAAAGGAATTTGAAATAACTTGGCACAAATGTTTATTATAATGAGATGATGTGTCATGCGCAACAACCAGACCCCTACCTCCAGGGTCAAGGTCACACTTGCTCATTCAAGGTCAACATTGCCTATTTGAGGGTATATGTCGTGTCCGGTCCATAACTTTCTTATCTATGAAGGGATTTTGTAAATACTTGCCATAATTGTTCACAATAATCAGACGATGTGTCATGCGCAAAAACCAGTTACCTACCTTCAAGGTCAAGGTCACACTTGGAGGTCAAATATTAACATAGTCTGTTACAGGGTATATTTCGTGTCCGGTCCATAACTTTGTCATTTATCAAAGGAATTTGAAATTACTTGGCACAAATGTTTGTTATAATAAGACGATGTGTCATGCACAACAACCAGACCCGTACCTTCAGGGTCAAGGTCGTACTTGCTCATTCAAGGTTAACATTGTCTATTTGAGGGTATATGTTGTGTCCGGTCTATAACTTTCTTATCTATGAAGGGATTTTGAAAATACTTGCCATAATTGTTCAGAATAATCAGACGATGTGTCATGCGCAAAAACCAGTCACCTACCTTCAAGGTCAAGGTCACACTTGGAGGTCAAATATTAACATAGTCTGTTACAGGGTATATTTGGTGTCCGGTCCATAACTTTGTCATTTATCAAAGGAAGTTGAGATAACTTGGCACAAATGTTTGTTATCATAAGACGGTGTGTCATGCGCAATAACTAGAACCGTACCTTCAGGGTCAAGGTCGTACTTGCTCATTCAAGGTCAACATTGTCTATTTGAGGGTATATGTTGTGTCCGGTCTATAACTTTCTTATCAATTAAGGGATTTTGAAAATACTTGCCATAATTGTTTTTAATAATCAGACGATGTGTCATGCGCAAAAACCAGTCACCTACCTTCAAGGTGAAGGTCACACTTGGAGGTCAAATATTAACATAGTCTGTTACAGTGTATATTTGGTGTCCGGTCCATAACTTTGTCATTTATCAAAGGAATTTGAAATTACTTGGCACAAATGTTTGTTATAATAAGACGATGTGTCATGCGTAACAACCAGACCCGTACCTTCAGGGTCAAGGTCGTACTTGCTCATTCAAGGTTAACATTGTCTATTTGAGGGTATATGTCGTGTCTGGTCTATAACTTTCTTATCTATGAAGGGATTTTGAAAATACTTGCCATAATTGTTCACAATAATCAGACGATGTGTCATGCGCAAAAGCCAGTCACCTACCTTCAAGGTCAAGGTCACACTTGGAGGTCAAATATTAACATAGTCTGTTACAGGGTATATTTGGTGTCCGGTCCATAACTTTGTCATTTATCAAAGGAAAGTTTAGATAACTTGGCACAAATGTTTGTTATAATAAGGCGATGTGTCATGCGTAACAACTTGACCCGTACATTCAGGGTCAAAGTCGTGCTTGCTCATTCAAGGTCAACATTGTCTATTTGAGGGTATATGTTGTGTCCGGTCCATAACTTCCTTATCTATGAAGGACTTTTGTAAATACTTGCTATAATTGTTCACAATAATCAGATGATGTGTCATGCGCAAAAACCAGTCACCTACCTCCAAGGTCAAGGTCACACTTGGAGGTCAAATACTTACATAGTCTGTTACAGGGTATATTTTGTGTCCGGTCTATAACTTTTTCATAGATCAAAGGATTTTGAAAATACTTCGCACAAATAGTCACTATAATAAGAGGATGTGTCATGCGCAACACCTGCATCCCTACCTCGAAGGTCAAGGTCACACTTAGAGGTCAAAAATTAACATAGTCTGTTATAGGGTATATTTTGTGTCGAATCTAGAACTTCTTCATAGTTCAAGGGATTTTGAAATAACTTGGCACAAATAGTCACAATAATAAGCCGATATGTCAGGTACAACACCTGCACCCTTACTTCTTAAGGTCAAGGTCACACTTAGAGGTCAAAGGTTAACAGAGTCTGTTATTTGGTATATTTTTTGTCCCGTCCATTACTTCTTCATAGATTAAGGGATTTTGAAAATACTTGGCACAAATAATCACAATGATTAGATGATATGTCATGCGTAACATCTGTGTCCCTACCTCCAAGGTCAAGGTCACACTTAGAGGTCAAAGATTTACATAGTCTGTTATAGGGTATATTTTGTGTCCAATCTACAACTTCTTCATAGTTCAAGGGATTTTGAAAATACTTGGCACAAATAGTCTCAATAATAAGACGTTATTTCATGCACAACACCTGCTCCCCTACCTCCAAGGTCAAGGTCACACTTAGAGGTCAAAGCTTAACATGATAGATTTTTAAATCCCGTGTTTCATTTTATTTTTTTAACAAATTTATTGTTACATTTGCAGATCTAGCATTGATCATAATTTTGGACTGAATGTCCTGAGATCCATACCTCAATCTTTTGAAATAGCACAATTTTATGCTTCATATAAAACTCCCGGGGCGGGGGACGTTGGTAACTCTGTTACAAATTCTTGTTAAGTTTACATTGCTGTAGTAAATTAGAAAAAGTTAATAACTCATACCTAATCTTGTTCTTTCACGATAATTTTACAGGTACAGCTTGATGAGGCACAGGATGAAATGTCATCATATTTCAATAGAGAGACCACACCCAAAATTCTACTTACAACCTGTGATAGACCTGGTCCTGTATGTACTTTATCAACTGAAATGTTGATCAGATTTATCAAATTATATTATTAACAAACTATGTAAAACTAAAATACTCAGAGCCTAGATATTTGGCATGCAACAATTGCCTGGTACATCTTCACAAAAGTTATTTATGATAAAAAAATGACCTAGTTGTTAGGAAAAGGGATAACTTAATTTACATACACTCACATATAGTAAACTTTGAGTACGTACATTATAAAAAATCTCTTGACTACAATACCTAAAGCATATTTATTTTGATTGTAGCTCCATCTTGAAATGTACTACAATAGTTATATACAAGTTATATTAATCATGACTATGTGGTAAAAACTAGCATAAGTACCATAAGAATAAATTGAAATAAAACATCCTTTGGACAAGTTTCATGAAATGATCTTTTCCCTAATTAAAAGGTTATTTTTGATTTCTCTGAGTTAAACAAATTTGTATTTTAGTGCATTAAGCCTGCCTTTGCAGTGCTCATTTCTTTCTCTTTTAATGGAAAATGGAAATATTGCTGTCACTTGCTAGCTTCTTTATGATAAGGCATGTAACGATCTGATTTTGTCACATGATTGTGATGCTTGCTTTTTTTCCAGAGGACTAATAAATTTTGCAAAGAGTTAAAGAAGTTAATACCAAACACAGAGCTATTGTACAGAAGGGGTCTAGATCTGAAGAAGATAATTCCACAGGCATTGTCAAAGAATTTCACAGATCTTATTGTTGTCAATGAAGATAGAGGAATTCCCAGTATCCTTTCTTTAGAATAAATTGAGATTATTTTGTTCCATCAGCATAGAATTTTGCTACTTGGATCTTAAATTAACAAGCAATTATCATAGTATTGCAAGCAATCCATAAGTCCCCTACCGGTAAGAGCCCAAGCAACATTCTGAAGGGCCATTGGCCATTCACTTATGTTCCTATTTTAAGTAAATTTGTTAAAAAAGTTATTTAAAAGTAATTACAGGAAACAGTTTTTATGTACAGACAGACAGACTGAAGGTCACTCTAAAGTTATTTTTTAGACATCCCTGTTATCAAAATATAACATTTTTAAAATCCTATCATGATTGAAGAAGTTGGAGTAAAAATTACCAATTTCTCAAAAAAAAGTCTAAGTTCAAAAGGGGCATAATTCTGGGAATAGTCTTGCTAGAGTATTGAACACTCACAAATGTTGAGTGATAATAAGAAACATTTATATGAAGTTTGAAGTAGATACATTCAAAAAAAGAAGTTATTAAAAAGAAACAATGTTTTTTTCATGAAAATTTTAAGTTCAAGGGAGGTAATTCTAACAAATTTTGTGCTAGAGTTGTAAACTTTGTCACATATGATGTGGTTGATGACAAGCAACTTAAATTTAAAGTTTGAAGAAAATACCTTAAGAAAGAACTTATAGTGAAAAAACTTAAAAACTAGAATCAGAAATCTTGAAATTCAGTCTATTTGTTGCCATAGCAACCAGAATTTTCAACATAGGAAAATAAGAAAAGGATGTGCATAATTTTCATACTGCCATCTACCCATATGTCAAGTTTCATAAACATATTTTCAGTACTTTTTGTGTTATCACTGGATCTAGGTTATGTGTAAAATTTGCCATATTTTCAGTCTATTTGTTGCCATAGCAACCAGAATTTTCAACATAGGAAGAAAAGAAAAAGATGTGCATAATCTCCATACTGCCATCTATCCATATATCAAGTTTCATAAAGATATTTTCAGTACTTTTTGCGTTATCGCGGGATCCAGGTTATGTGTAAAATTTGCCATGTTTTCAGTCTATTTGTTGCCATAGCAACCAGAATTTTCAACATAGGAAGAAAAGAAAAAGACGTGCATAATCTCCATACTGCCATCTATCCATATATCAAGTTTCATTAAAATATTTTCAGTACTTTTTGCGTTAACGCGGACAGACGGACGGACAGACGGACGGAGGGTAAACCTAAAGTCCCCTCCGGTAAACCGGTAGGGGACTAATAAAATCAGTCTCGTAGGATAAAACTGGATGCTATTTTAAAATAATAATAAAAAAAAATGATACAAAACATATATTTTTCTGGTTTATGTTATGAAATGTGAGTAGGGAGTCGCCTGCCAATGGTGAAGGCAAAGGAAAGATGGAATGTGACTCTTTAATTCACCTGAATGCCTTTCCCTATAATAGAATTACAGATTTTACTTCTTTAAGAAGATCATCTTTGAAAGACATGTAGAGATAATAGTTCTGTTCATTCATCTATCAGTTGATCACAACAATTATGTACATGTTGTATATTTGTGATTGAGTTGTCATACCTTAAATTGTTGTTATAGATGAAATAAAAGACAACTTTGAACAGCTTCAGTTCAGAAACAAGAAGACATTTTCTGTTGTGAATGATTTTCTTTTCACTCTTTCGGTTTGTAGCAAAATTGCTCTAAATCTATTATAGGTGAAACCATGACATTTTGTCAGTTGAGTGATTATTTATCAGAATAAAGTTGTGATGAAATGCTGTAAGTTAAGTGACATATTTTAGCCTTAATCAGTACTTTTTAGATGGTCTTGTAATATCACGTTTACCTGATGGACCTACAGCACAATTCAAGGTGTCTAATGTCAAATTGACTACAGAGATTAAGGTAAAGTTGTTAAACTAGAATTTTTCATACTTATTTGACCTTTAATGTATGCAGTTGGAGAAACAGATATGTTTTGACGTAAATCTTTTGTTTTTTAATAATCTATAAGGATTTTAGTCTTTGGCAAATATATTACTGAAGATGTATGAAAAACAATTCCATTCAGCAACTTATTTCTACTTGCTTTATGCCCTTTTTATAGATACAATGTATTGAACTGTACATTCCATCTATACTGCTAACCTACTTTTGGAAAGAAGGAATTATCGTAACTTTACCTTTGCCAATGACTTAATTTTACAAACATTATGTTACTTACCAATAAAGAAGCCATGTTCCTGGAATGTGACATATTCAATGTATCATTCATTTCCATCACTAATTTCCCGTTAAGCACAATATGATTTACCTATTTTGGCATGTTGGATACCAGTATTTCTAAAGTTCTATCATACTATCCATACTTACTGTCAAATACAAAGGCCATTATCCTGGCATTTAGTATTTTAGCATAATTTCTGCATTTATTTTTTCCCTCATCTCTCCCCTTCATGATATGGCGAAATATTTCAAGTTGGTGTCAATCGCGGATTCCCGCTTACAAGTCAATTCTGAAGCCATGATGATTGACCGGGCACATACTATTTTTTTCTGGAAAGTGAAAATGGCTATAGATGCACTGTCGAATTACATACTTTTGTCAATTTTTTAAATAATATTGACCGTGATATTCAACATGTATGTTATTATTTTAGAATGCAGGAAAACTTTCTAGTCATCAACCAGAGGTTATACTTAACAACTTTAATACTCGCCTGGGTACATCTGTTGGAAGAATGCTGGCATCAGTCTTTCCACATGACCCAGAATTTCAGGGCCGTCGAGCTGTGACCTTCCATAATCAGAGAGATTTTATCTTTGTCAGACACCATAGGTATTGTATTTTAATTTTCAATAATCTATGAACAAAAGTTAAAATTGTCAGTATGGCAAAATAATGTATTCATCAATGAAAATATTACCAATTTCTTGGCAAGCTGATAGATATATCTCATGAGGGATTTAATTGTATGTGAGACAAGGATATCTGTTGTTCTCATGGTTTAATGAAGTATTTTGTTTATGAATTCACACTAAATTATTATCATAGATGTATGTCTATTATCTTATATTACATAATAGGCTCATACAGCTCTTCACCACCCTGTCAATAATCATGTCTTTCCCTACATAAAATATTTGCTTAAATCATCATTTCTTAATACTCCCATCACATTGAAAGGAACTGAAATCTTGTGATAACAAATAAAAAATCTGATTGGTTTATAATACAGATAATTTGTAATTACAGATATGTTTTCCGTAATGCAAAGAGGGTAGGCCTACAGGAGCTTGGACCTAGGTTTACCATGAAATTGAGGACATTACAGAAAGGAAGTTTTGATTCCAAATTTGGAGAGTACGAGTTTATACATAAGGTATTCTATCATAAAATTTCTTTACAGAAATCATGAATCTTATAAACATAAATAGAAAAAAAAGTTTGTTGGACCATATCTAGATAATAATGGTATAAAAAAGAATTAAGTGACCCGAGGGCCACAATTTTAACAAGGTTTTATCATGTTGTGTGAAAGACTTAAAAATTTTTTCTATCTATTGCACAATGATTAACAGTATCTTTCAACCTTTTTCGATTCTTTCATAATTATTTCTTTATGAAAATGGTTTATATATCAGTCATACTAAAGAAAAGACAATATTATTTCATTGGCTACTTTGAAGTTGTGAAATACCTTATGTCTGTTACATAACATGATTACATAGACAAATGATAACATGATAAAACATATCATGTCAGAATCAAATAGGATGGTACTATCTTGATTTAAACATTTTATTGCTCTTTTTTCGGTACATTAATATTAATATAAAAGTAACAAAAGGGTTGAACCACGAGTTCTTACAACATCAGCAAACGGTTCTTTCCAGAAATATGGAATTATCTAAATAATAATAAGACAGTATCAAACAAAAATGGCACAATAGGATGGCACTAATGAGCTCCAGAACAAATCAGTGTTTGTTACAGTATATGTACTTATAGTAGCATATTGACAGGCGATTTTACTTTAAATTTCTTTTTAATGATTTACAAAACATTTATGTTTAACTGTATTATATTTCCGTTATTTCAGCGACATGAAATGGATACAAGTAGAAGGAAGTTCTTCCTTTAACAAACAATTCGTGAAATGTTATATGGTGTATGTTTGATGAACGAATGGCTATGAATAAATGTTTACAGTTTCAAATCTGTTATGTATTCTTTAGTTCAGTTACATTGAAAATAGACACTAAATTATTTGCTTTATACTAAGTTTATTTGAAGTAAAACATAGAGAGCTACTCATCATAGAGTTGGGTGTCCAGATTTATACTTTAACTTTCTGTACAGTAAAATATTATTTTCTCAATCTTCAACATGGCATCAAGGATAAGAATTCTGTCGTCATCATCATTTATGTAAGAATTACTACTCTCTGCAAACCTTGTTAGTGGTGGCGTGCCAGAGTGATTAACACAACAGACTGGTAATCTAAGAATTACTGGCCTCAAGGGTTCAAACTTTGTCAGCGGCAAGCTGTTGTTTCCGTGAGCAAGAAACTTTACATTTTCAAGTACTGGTTGGTTCCAGGAACAGATTAGAGAGTTTCAATAAGCTTATCACTTCCAACACAATCAAACTAAAATAAAATAAATTAAACCAAAGAGGGCCTTGTTACTGCCCAATGGGTATGTACCCATGAGACAGATATTCCGATCCAATGAAATAACTCTGTTGTTACCAAGGCAACCTGTCAGGAACCTAAGATCTATGCCAGCATCATGAATAAGCCTACTTTTACAAAATAACTGCATACTGCACATATTTACATGCACCTTGTGTAGTGTTAGTGGCTACAAGTGCCTACGGACTTTCATAGACTTGCTTATGGGACATTTATTATGCACCCGAAGGGAGAGTATGTAGTCACCCCTTTGTCCGTCTGTCCATCTGCTTTTCTTTTCCGGGACATCTGAAACAACAAGAGGGATCAACATAAAACTTTGTAGATAGATGAATCGTAACTCTGCCTTGCTTTATTTTGGAGTTATTGTCCTTTGTTCAGTTTTTATACTTTGAACTATGTCTGGGACATAACTCAATACTATAAGAGATGTCAACATGAAACTTTATAGGTAGATAGATCTCATTGGGTAAATGTGCAGTGCAAAGAACAGTAACTCTGTATTGCCTTAGTTCGAACTTATCACGCTTTGAACTTTGTCGGGGACATAACTCTGAAACTAGAAAATCTATTTGGGGAACATCATCCGGATCTCAACTGGCTCTTGTTAGACTGGCTATAGTGGTATTCAATTATTGGAGTAACATTTGATTATTTTGTGTTTATGTTTATATTTTAAAAACCCAAAATGAGCGAATAATGAAAAAGAGCCATCTATATACTATTCAAATTGTAAGAATATAAGAACATATGCTATAAAAGCCAGTCTATCCATTTTTTTAAACATTTCTACCCAGTATAAAACATTTAGTTGATGATTAGTTTTTTATATAAATAGCTATATGATAAAGGATAAAATGAATACTTTTGAGCAAAAAAACTTACTGAAGTTATGATCGAATCTGAATCAACAGATACCCAGTCCACCTGCTCTTCTGTACATTATTTCAAGCAATGTGGTTGCTATGGTTACAGAAATGGTAAAAACAATGAATTTTGATTCTAGTATATTAACAAGGTTCAGTATTTGATAACTCCAGTTAACATAAAATTTTGTTCCCATTGTTGATTTCTTCAAATTTGCACAGGCATGATTCCTTCCTGGTTATTTAATATGGGTTGGAAGTTGAGAATCAGACAATTATACTGGTAGGTCACTGCCAAGTAGAACCACTGATCTTGCTGGATTATTTCAAGCTCTACCCTGCCTTGCAGCTGTTTTTAGCTGTAATAAAGTAGGTTTTTTAATGTAACCCGTCTATAACCAAATAATTCCCCTCTTGATTACCAAATAACGTTAGCTTGATATCTAGTAGAATGATGCATTCCATTGAATCCTCTTTGACCCTTGCAAGATCTGTTAAAGTTGTTTATTCCAGTTTGCCGTATGACTAGAATTTTAACCATGTAGTTATAAACGTGCATTAATAACTTCCTTTAACATCTTGATCATTGCAAAGGTTTATAATTCTAAAAACCATATGATTAACAGAATAAAGTACCTTTATCCAAAAATACAACTAAAATGTTTATTTCAAATAATTTTATTTCAATTTATACATTCAATGTGGTTAACTTTTTTTTATAAAAAAACTTTCTATAGTTAGCAGCATATCCAAAAACAAGAGTCTGTAAAATTCTAGCATTACACTTATTTGTGATCTTTACTTAATAGATACTTAAAATATATGAGCTGCGTCACAACAAAACCAACATAATGTGTTTGCGACCAGCATGGATCCAGACCAGCCTGCGCATCCGCGCAGTCTGATCAGGATCCATGCTGTTCGCTTACCAACCCTATTACAAGTAGAGAAACTGATAGCAAACAGCATGTATCCTGATCAGACTGCGCGGAGGCGCAGGCTGGTCTGGATCCATGCTGGTCGCAAACCCACTATGTTGGTTTTGTCGTGACGCGGCTCATATCTGCAAACATTTGACTCTGCCATCCTAATTTAGGCAGTTCTAAAATGTGTATAAAATTTGAACTATGATTGCACAATATTTGTCATAAACAGAAACAAACTACACACATACACACACACACAATGCCCCCTGAGATAAGTGTTTTAGCTAGGGATGGCAACGAGTAACCGGTTAACCGAGTACTCGATCGAACGTCCGAATATCGGTTAACAAAATTGATATTCGATTACTCGAAAAAAATATTTAATTTCTACTTTTTTGCGATTTAGAAAGATTAGTTCAGAAATTCGGAAATGTACACGTATCTGTATAAATACTTGCATGTTAAGTGCAATCACAACATCCTTGCAGAGGTGTGAAAATGTTATCGCAAGTTTAACGAGGCGACGCGTATGGGATTAAACACAGTCCTGTGTCGTTTACGTCATTCGGCCTCTTATGATATTTAATCACCTTTAAATATTAGACAGTTTGTAGCCGAAACTTGTTAATTATAAAAACGTAAATATATACGGAATTTTTAGTTGTAGCTTTGTATTTTGCTACGAGCAGCGATGGAAGAATATATTATTATATACCTACACATACTAATAAATATCTCACGAGACCGAAGGTCGATCGAAATATCAATTTTCCAACATTGCGAGTTATGAATTATAAATGATTTTCATTATACTACACTTCTATAAGAAATTTCAGAAAATGAAATGTAGCTGTCAAGAAATAAATTTATGACCGACGGATGAATACGTAATTTTTGCAAAACCGGCCACGCCTTTTATAATTTTGGTTTCCGTTTCCAATACACAGCTAAGATCGGAACCAACGTCAAAAGTAGTCCGTCACTTCCATATATGGTACAGTATTTGTCACTAACATAATATGGAATTTTCTAACTGTTGAAGCGTGTTTGCGCTTCAAGTTCATCCTGTATTTTAGGGAGAAAATGTGTAGGTATATAATAAATGCTGTCATTGACATTTCTTATGTTTATATGTATTTCTTGCAGTCCTATTTATAGTTACGAATTCTATGAATTAAAATAGAAAACGAAAGTAGCATGCAGACGGTGTTGATATTGTGTGATAAAACTTAAAGATCATTGGAAATCATCCGAGTAACCGAGTACTCGATCGGAAAAATGACCGAGTACTCGAGTATTGATTTTGGTATTCGTTGCCATCCCTAGTTTTAGCACTATAAAGGACAAAATGCACAACCAAATTCATAAAATTAAAAATTTAAGAAAAAAAGCATGGCTTAAAATTTTCCAGATTTTTTCAGTATTCGTTAAAATACTACTGATAAGTGTAGGAGACACAAGTAAAATTAACTTTTCTATACAAGCATTTTAAAATAAAGGCAAATAAAATAATCTCTCTCTCTACAAGCACAATAAAGGCTATCAACTTTATAAAAACTTTTGCAGTTTTAAAAAACAAAGCAATTTAATACAAATTTGTCTTAAAAATATGTGAACTTCAAGAAATCTATATAATACAACTGTTAACTTCTGGTCACAGTTAAAGGAATAAAAGTTAATCAATGAGTGCTTAAGAACAAACCTACGCCAGGATGCCTTTGCAATGTACCTACAAAATCAAATATCTAACGTATCAGTTAGTACATGATGCATGACAACCTGTAGGCAAAGAAACACCATTTTAACACTCCTTGATCTTGACCCAGTTAATCTCAACCCCATTCCTAGAATAAAACATTCATGCAATGTACATACATGTATTTGCCTTTTATCAGTCAATACATGAAGCTCTATGAGAAATAATTTCACAAAAGGACAAACAAGCAACTACTTGTATATACAATCTCATACAAAAACAAATAAGTGAAAAACAAAAATAATAAACAATAATAAATGCAATGTTAAGGCAAGTAAACATTGTAAATGTCCAATTATATATAAGAAACAAATAAATTAACTAAAACCATGTCTTCATATCTCAACAGAACCAATCATTAAACAAACACATTAACATTGGCACATTTTCTCTCTTACCATTTTCTAATCTGTCCTATTGAGTACAAAGTCAGAATTGTACTTCCCTTAGAATAAGACACAAAGAGTCAGTGCCCAAAGGTAGTTCTCTACTTATGAGTTAGTTCCCTTGGTGTCAATGCACAATTCAGTTTGTGACAATTACACAGAAACAAAACTGTATGTGACTGACAAATGCCTGATGCACTCTTTAATTTACACATTTAAAGAGTTGTACTTGTAGTAAATAATCTCCATAATTGTGACTCTGTTTCATACAGATCTGGTACATTATCACTTAATCTCAAGTTAGTATCTATGGAATTACTGAATTGTGTTTTATAAAATAAAAGAGTGCCCACACAAAGATTCACATTCTGTTCACATGTTTATACATGTCAAATTGGAATAGCACAGGGGTATCACAATGTAGAGATCATCTTATCATAGATAATTTTACGATAGAACTGTCTTTGTCTTTCAGTGTTGTACTTTGTGTCTTTTTCTTCTGTGTATCAACAGCAAAACATTTCCAAAGTCTAAGAGTTTCGTCTGCTCCAGCAGACACAACAGTGGTACCATCTGGTGACATTGCCATGTGTAAAACCCTAGATGTGTGACCTGAATGATATAAAATTTATATTAGAGTATGTATATACATATTTCTAGAATAAATAGTACTTTGATTTTCTTGTTTTAAGTTAAGGTGGAAGGAGTGAACATCTGGGGGGATTTTCCAGCTTTCCTAACAGTGTCCCCGCTCTGTGTGCTTATTTCAGGCATTGAGAGGATAAGTGATGTGAAATAAATGTTATACCTAAAAACACCAATCAGAATCCACAACAAATCTGACACCAAAGAAAAAGGAAGATAAATTTCTCATTTCATTGTTTGTTTCATTTTACGCCTTTTCCCAACAGTATTTCAGTCATATAGGCGGCCGGGTAGTTTCCTAACCATTGTTCCTGGAGAGTTACACCAGTACTAGACTTTTTTCCTCCATGCTAAACTACCAAAGCATCTCCCGGGGATTGAACCGACGCCAGAGAGGTAACTGGATTAGAAGTCATCGACTCTAACCCCTCAACCACGGAGGCGGTTCCTTATTCCTTAAAACAGTAACAAATGTTCATTATCAAAGAAAATAAACATTTCGCTTATTCAAAAGACTGCTTTGATTTAATTATTACACAAAACATTTGTAATTGGTAGGGTAAAAAGTCATGTATACATTATTTCCCTTAACACAAAATTGGATAAAAAAATTCCTTTGAATATTAAGTTATGCCGGATTATTGAAAATTTATATCAACAAATATTTTGTTTACAAGATCGTGATTTTTCATTTTTCATAGGATAAATATATTTCCAAGAGACAAATTCAAGATTTGCAAATTTAATCTGTGAGTACCTGACAATTGGATACCCACTTCAACCATGTATGTATCATGTATGTTTCCCTAATAAAAAACAAAACTGGTGTACATATATGTGTATCATTATTGTATTTAATTTTACCTGTCAGCTCAGCTACTTTTGTCATGGCCGGGTACTTCCAGATAGTGAGTTGATTAAGGGCAAAACCGTGACTAGTTATTAATTCCTTGTACTCCTTTGACCACAAAATAGCACACACCTGTAAAGTTTTATAATAACATAAACGACCATACATGCTTTTTATCATACATCAATATTATTGTGCCATTATTTATTTTGCAGGTTGAATATCACCATTGGCCCTACTCTGCCATGTACATGTATTAATCTCTTACTATAAGTTAATAACCATTGACAAAAAGAAAGATTAGAACAAGAGGGCCATGATGGCCCTGAGGTCGCTCACCTGTATATAGCCCCCCCCCCCCCCCCCCGGGCCAATTTTTACCCAAGGGCTTTTATTTGAACAGACTTGGTAGACACCCATAAGAAGATGTTTCATGCTAAACATCTAAGTTCTAGCTCATTGGGTTTTTTAAAAGAAGATTTTTTAAGTTTTTACTATACACATATAGTTAAAAACAATGACACCCCTGGGGCATGGCCAGTTTTGACCCCCGGGCTTTTATTTGAACAAACTTTGTAGATATTTACTTAAAGATGTTTCATGTATAATATCTAAACTCAAGCTATTTGGGTTTTTTCAAAGAAGATTTTTAAGTTTTTGCTATACACATATAAGGAAAATCAATGACCCCCTTGGGGCGGGGCCAGTTTTGACCCCAGGGCTTTTATTTGAACATACTTGGTAGACACCCATTAGAACATGTTTCATGCTAAATATCTTAGCTCTAGCTCTTTGAGTTCTTTAAAAGAAGATTTTTAAGTTTTTACTATATGCATCAATGACCCCCTGGGGCGGGGCCAATTTTGACCCCAGGGCTTTTATTTGAACAAACTTGGTAAACACTCATTAGAAGATGTTTCATGCTAAATATCTTAGCTCTAGCTCTTTGGGTTCTTTAAAAGAAGATTTTTTAAGTTTTTACTATATGTATATAGGGAAAATCTATGACCCCCTGGGACGGGGCCAATTTTGACCCCAGGGCTTTTATTTGAAAAAACTTGGTAGACATTCACTAGAAGATGTTTCATGCCAAATATCTAAGCTCTAGCTCTTACGGTTCTTTAAAAGAAGATTTTTTAAGTTTTTACTATATGCATATTGGGAAAATCTATGACCCCCTGGGGCAGGGCCAATTTTTACCTCTGGGCTTTTATTTGAACAAACTTGGTAGACACTCATTAGAAGATGTTTCATGCTAAATATCTTAGCTCTAGCTCTTTGGGTTCTTTAAAAGAAGATTTTTTAAGTTTTTACTATATGCATATAGGGAAAATCAATGACCCCCCAGGCCGGGGCCAATTTTGACCCCAGGGCTTTTATTTGAACAAACTTGGTAGACATTCACTAGAAGATGTTTCATGCCAAATATCTAAGCTCTAGCTTTTACAGTTCTTTAAAAGAAGATTTTTTAAGTTTTTACTATATGCATATAGGGAAAATCAATGACCCCCCGGGCCGGGGCCAATTTTGACCCCAGGGCTTTTATTTGAACAAACTTGGTAGACACTCACTAGAAGATGTTTCATGCCAAATATCTTAGCTCTAGCTCTTTGGGTTCTTTAAAAGAAGATTTTTTAAGTTTTTACTATATGTATATAGGGAAAATCAATGACCCCCTGGGGCGGGGCCAATTTTGACCCTAGGGCTTTTATTTGAACAAACTTGGTAGACACTCATTAGAAGATGTTTCATGCCAAATATCTAAGCTCTAGCTCTTACGGTTCTTTAAAAGAAGATATTTAAAGATTTTTCGTTCGGTTGCCATGGCAACCAGAGTTCTGCATGAAATGGAATTCTTTGAACAATCTTGATAGAGCTTCATACAAAGAGTATTCCTGCCAAGTTTCATTAACATTGGCCTTGCGGTATCATAGAAGATGTCCTTAGAATATTTAAAATGTGGACGGACGACAGACGACGGACGCCATTTGGTTGGCCATCCTAAAAGCTCACCTGCACTTTGTGCAAGGTGAGCTAAAAACAAACCAAATCATCCACCTATTCAAATGTGTTTCAAGGTAGATTTGTGCATCATCAAATTATTCAATACTATTTTAAAATTATCTTTCTATTAAAAAGCAGATACATGAAAATCAATGTTACATATAACTAAACAGATTTTATTTCTATAAAATATCCGTTATGTTAATTATGAAATTATATTTTCCAGCATTAGGATTATACTTTAGCCAGTTTGAAAGAAAGGTAAAGCTTAACTCTTTGAACACTAGAAGCATCAATGACTTGCCATGTTAGGACATTCTGCATACATGTGTTGTTTGTTTAAGAAAACTCAATACAGGCTTAAGCTAAATAATTTTGATTCTGAAAACCTAAAGACTGAAAATATGACAACAGTTCTAAAATGATAGGAAGTCAAGCCCAATACACAAAATTTAATATAGTAGTTAAAATCTACAAATTTTTACCTGAGATTTTGTATCGACTGCATTTAAACAGCTACCATTGCTCACATTCCAAAACCTGATATGTCTGTCTGCAGTACCTCCTCCACTAGCTAGAACATTATGTTGCCATGGACACCAAGACACTGCCTGAAATACATGCTACTGTTATAAGTACATGACACGTATTTGTAAAACTTTGTTTACCGAAATGCCAATTATTTCAAAGGACATATCATTTGCACAGAACACTTAAGCTGTCTAAAAAACAGCAACTTCAACTTTATACATATTACATTAATAGAAAATTATGACTCCTACACCATGTAATTTTCTTGAGAAATTAAATCATTGAAATTTTAATAGAACAAGAGGGCCATGATGGCCCTGAGGTCGCTCACCTGTATATAGCCCCCCCCCCCCCGGGCCAATTTTTACCCAAGGGCTTTTATTTGAACAGACTTGGTAGACACCCATAAGAAGATGTTTCATGCTAAACATCTAAGTTCTAGCTCATTGGGTTTTTTAAAAGAAGATTTTTTAAGTTTTTACTACACACATATAGTTAAAAACAATGACACCCCTGGGGCAGGGCCAGTTTTGACCCCCGGGCTTTTATTTGAACAAACTTTGTAGATATTTACTTAAAATGTTTCATGTATAATATCTAAACTCAAGCTATTTGGGTTTTTTCAAAGTAGATTTTTAAGTTTTTGCTATACACATATAAGGAAAATCAATGACCCCCGGGGCGGGCCAGTTTTGACCCCAGGGCTTTTATTTGAACATACTTGGTAGACACCCATTAGAACATATTTCATGCTAAATATCTTAGCTCTAGCTCTTTGAGTTCTTTAAAAGAAGATTTTTTAAGTTTTTACTATATGCATATAGGGAAAATCAATGACCCCCTTGGGGCGGGGCCAATTTTGACCCCAGGGCTTTTATTTAAACAAACTTGGTAGACACTCATAAGAAGATGTTTCATGCTAAATATCTTAGCTCTAGCTCTTTGGGTTCTTTAAAAGAAGATTTTTTAAGTTTTCACTATATGCATATAGGGAAAATCAATGACCCCCTGGGGCGGGGCCAATTTTGACCTCAGGGCTTTTATTTGAACAAAATTTGTAGACACTTACTAGAAGATGTTTCATGTCAAATATCTAAGCTCTAGCTCTTACGGTTCTTTAAAAAGAAGATTTTTTAAGTTTTTACTATATGTATATAGGGAAAATCTATGACCCCCTGGGGCAGGGCCAATTTTGACCTCAGGGCTTTTATTTGAACAAACTTGGTAGACACTCATTAGAAGATGTTTCATGCTAAATATCTTAGCTCTAGCTCTTTGGGTTCTTTAAAAGAAGATTTTTTAAGTTTTTACTATATGCATATAGGAAAAAATCAATGACCCCTTGGGCGGGCCAATTTTGACCCCAGGGCTTTTATTTGAACAAACTTGGTAGACATTCACTAGAAGATGTTTCATGCCAAATATCTAAGCTCTAGCTTTTACAGTTCTTTAAAAAGAAGATTTTTTTAAGTTTTTTACTATATGCATATAGGGAAAATCAATGACCCCCCCCGGCCGGGGCCAATTTTGACCACCCCAGGGCTTTTATTTGAAACAAACTTGGTAGACACTCACTAGAAGATGTTTCATGCCAAATATCTTTAGCTCTAGCTCTTTGGGTTCTTTAAAAGAAGATTTTTTGAGTTTTTTACTATATGCATATAGGGAAAATCAATGACCCCCTGGGGTCGGGCAATTTTGACCCTAGGGCTTTTTTATTTGAACAAACTTGGTAGACACTCATTAGAAGATGTTTCATGCCAAATATCTAAGCTCTAGCTCTTACGGTTCTTTAAAAGAAGATATTTAAAGATTTTTCTTTCGGTTGCCATGGCAACCAGAGTTCTGCATGAAATGGAATTCTTTGAACAATCTTGATAGAGCTTCATACAAAGAGTATTCCTGCCAAGTTTCATTAATATTGCCTTGCAGTATCATAGAAGATGTCCTTTTAGAATTATTTAAAAAAAAATGTGAACGGACGACGGGACACGGACCCCCTTTTTGGTTGGCTATCCAAAAGCTCACCCACTTTTTTTGAACCGGTGAGTTAAAAAACAAAACTTTTTAAAACCCTTTCTCAATTCTTTTAGATTCCTATGGAATTTGGAGAAAACATTTTTTACAATCACTGTTTATGTTACCTTAACAGCAGCAAGATGCTGTGAGAATGTGTGTACTGGTTGTACAGGAGACTGTGTTGATAGAGACATCTGTGGTGACCAAACATTGAGCAGGTTATCATTACCACCACTAGCCAGATATTTGCCGTCCGGTGACCATTTCAGACCACATACTTCCTGTGTGTGACCTGATAAAGTTCCTACATGATGTTGAGATACCCGTACATCATGATGATGTATATTACCATCTCTTGACCCACTGCAAATCAACAATATCGTGTGAAACCAAAAACTCACTATTACATATTAATATAATCATAATATTTACAGTAAAAAACACACTTTTTATTGATAAAAAATTCCCATACAATCTGCATATTTTATCTTCTGTTACACAAATTTCATGCAAAGAAAAGCTTGAACATTTTTTTATGTTAACATCAAAGATCTGTAAAGGGCTTCAAATTCACTAGATCTTTTATGTCGCATTTTTTATGAACGGAACTTATTTTAAGGGTTTATGAATTTGCTGTTTTGTCTAAATTGCAAAAAGTACTTTAATTAAGTTGTAATTTTTTATTCCTTTGTTTTTACAAAATAATCCTAAATACACTTGAAACATACACAGCTCTGATATTCCATTAATAAGATATACATGTATGTAATATTTGTGTTAATAAGACTAACCTGCTGAGTATATAGGAATTCCAAGAAAGAGATCCTACTCTGGCAGCATGTCCACCCATGTTACGTAATCTCTTTTGTTGTGCTACATCCCACAACTACAGAAAAACAATGAAATCATGAAAAAACATTTTTGCATGTACCTAATCGTAAGTTTATATGTACTGTCAAAGCATGCCATTGCTACAAATATGCCATAATATTTGAAAATTGTACTATATATTGAATATTCTTTATACAGGGAGTATGGTATATGATTAATTTTTTATTCGGCTAATTGGGTGAAAACATAGGTCTATTTTTTAAGCGCAATATGAAATGTAAGGGCATCCAATTTTCTTATTCTGAAATTAAAGTGCATCGGTACTGATGTGCTAAAAAACATCTGGGGAACTCCGTGATTAATCTTTAATTAATCTGTGGGATTTAAGATTTTAAGCCTTTTCTTTTCCAAAGTAAATGTACCAGATAAAGCGGTCATAGAAATGGGTAGAAATTTAGAATAACGGCAAGATTCGAGCAATTAACTAACTTTTATTCAATACAGATTTTTTTTGTGAGCATATATTGTCTTATTAATAATCATCAAATTTTCTTTTCCCCGGGTCAGAAAGACTGTTTGTTACCTGCACTTCTCCACCACTGGTTCCTACTGCAAGAATATTGCCCTCAGTAACCCAGGATACAGCACCAATATACTCTTCAGGATTATCTAACTGTAATAACTGAGTTATGTCACCTGATGAAGCATTCCACAAATACACATTGCTACCAAGAGCCACTGCCAGATGATTGTTCACTGACCAATCTAATAGATTCAGATCTGAAAATAATAATACAACGTAATTAACATAGTAACTACATCTTCAACTTTAAACAACATCTTTTACTTACTCTGTCTCTCTCTGTTTTTATTGATGTATGTCCTGCTAGTTTATCAACTGGACAGGATGCAAATCATTTAACAATAAGGTTATGATAAGAGTTTTAAAAAAACAAATGTACAGAAAAAAGTAACCCAACAGTGTTGAAGATTAGAATTTGTATTGTCCTAGTTACAAAACACTTTTATAATGAGGAACCATAGAGAGTCCTGATGATTTTGTTATATCTGAAGTGGAGGTATTTACTCTGAAAGCTAAGCTGAGATGTATATACTCACAATAATCATCAAGAATTTCTGGAGCATCTAAAATTCTCTCAGGCACCTGTGGAATGTTCCGTAAAGTTTTCTTTGCTGTACTGGCTGGAGTCTTACATGAGCTGTACAAAACTTGCAGATTGTTTGAATGTCCTACAAATGAAAGAAATGAAACATGTAATTCACCATTCCTTTAAAAATCTAAGCATATTAACACAATTGGTAAACATGGTAAAATGGTCTATCTAGTCAAGTAGGCAGATTATCATAATGTTGGAATAGAAAGCCAAGCTTTTGGATATACATGTATGTAGTAAAAAATCTTCTAAAACTACTGTCAAGTGATACATTTGGACAATTGGAGAATTTAAATAATAAAATATTTCATTCACAGCTAAAGGAACAAATCTTATTATAGAATCAAAGACAGCCAGTTTATTGTCCTCATAAAATCATTACCTTCTGGTGCAGATGGTGCCTTGGCTTTATATGAAATAATTTTTTTGTTGTTGAGATCACCGTTGAGGTTTTCACTCATGACTTTCTGGTACTCTAGTTTACTTGGACTCATCATCTCTGAATCTTCTGTAGTCTGCCCTTGATTTGCTTCCTGCATAATCTGAAAGTGACCGAGTTCAAACTGTGTTGTATTCCTGTTGGGTATAAATCTATCACCACCATTGGGTGTTTTGGCTCCTTTACCAGGCGTCTTTTTACCTAATAAAAGCAAGTAATTTATTGTAAAACATTTTGTTTATGTATAACTTGTAGAGGTAATAAAATGTATTTAGTACAACAAAGAAATAATATCTGCATGAGCTAATAAAGAACCCTCCTGTCAGAAAACTGTTCATGCAGCAGACCAGTAATGCTGAGCAAATTAAGACAGTCAGTTACAATATCTTTTTTTATCTTTTTTTATTATCAAACATGATAAATGAAAACCTGTTTGCAATAAATATTAAAATGCTGTAACAGCGAAGGATATTTTAATATACATCCATTGTTTTCAAGTTTGTCAGTACTGAAATATGCATTTTAATGCTATTTGATTATTTAAATCAGCATCACAATTTGCTTTCACTGTATGAAAAATTGTTTGATAAACAAGAACAAATTAATTTGTGATACAGGTATCAAAGAAAAAAAAAGAAAAATGGCATTGCAGACCACGAAACAATACATGTATCCCTTTTCACAGAAGGAAAACATACCTCCTGACTTTGGAGTCTTGTGACCACCAGATCCGCTAGTTGAAGGTGTTTTAGCCATGGATCTATTTGAACTAGCACTTTTCATTGGCGTCTTTGAAGTTCCACAGCTTACATTAAGGCTAGCATTAACAGACTGGTTCCCATCTCCATTATCTTGTTTCCTCTGCCATCTCATGGCTGGACCCTTCTGCATTGGACCATCCATTCTTAGAGCACTAGAAAGCTCCTTTTCTAAAGCAAACTGTGACATTGGTAGATATCAGACTGGTAGATATCCACTTAAAATATATATATGCCTGTTTTCAAAACTTCAATCTGAAACAAGAAACAAAAGGTCTATTTACTGAATGTAAGACACCAACTATCCGTGTAAAACTAAAAGAAAAAACCCTGTATATCGGTCAGTCTTGATTGCTTATTTCTGTCAAGTCATACATTGCTTGGGAGTATCATGTAGATGTAGATGACTTCTACCTGTTATTGAAAGTAAAATATATAGTCTCCCAAGAAAGGTACAGTGTAGTCCAACTAATTGTACTGTGCGACGAGACATTGTGCTATTTTCATGTCTGGGCAATATCTCACCTCTAAAAGCGAGATTCTGCCCCAGGAAGAAAATATCTCAAAATCAAGCTTTGGCACGTCAATATATTTTGACTAGGTACAGTGACTGAAAGTGATTTCGTTTATAATACAATACATGGAATCATAGCCAACAAATTGTGCGCCTGGGCTTTTTATTATATAGACAATGGTCGCCATTCGCCAACTATATAATAGTGAGCTAGAAGGGCCTGCTCGCAAAGCAAGCTTTACAGTAACGCGAGTACCTGCTAGATAGTAATGGTTTTGAAAACTTTCGTCGGAAGAACTGAATTGACACTAGTCCTATAACATAAGACGTTTCCGTTCGTACTACGTAAACTCCAACGTCTTATCGACTTCTTCATAAGTTCCTTTAGCAAAACCCGTCCACATGTATACAGGTAAAATGGCCGAATGTATATACATGTAGCGGTGAAAGTGGTATAAATTGTATTGGATTGGATTTATTTACATTCCAAGGTGAGTCATTTATTTTTTTTTGCTGCACATTGATGCAAAAATGTTTTAATTTACTGTCTGCATATCTTTTGACTCAAAATATTGTTTTTGTAGTAAATTACTACGGTTTATATAGCGCTTCAAAATCGCTGCGCGTTTTGCTAAAGGAACTTATGAAGAAGTCGATAAGACGTTGGAGTGAACGCAGTACTAACTGAAACGTCTTATGTTATAGGACTAAATTGACATATGTATCGCAACTTTTCAAATTACAAGATAACGATAGAGCCAGGGAATTCTGACTGAAAACAGATGCATAGACTGGTGTCCTGCACACTTTTATAGGAACCATAATAGGACAGGGAACCAGCATAAACGGAAGCAGTGTATAAATTAAAATACTGAATGACAGTTTTAAGACAGAAAATGTAAAATGAAAATGAACGATTATTTTTTACTATTTCAAGATAAATGTAAATCGAGCTCGCTATGAGGCATTGCCTTTGTCATATTATCAGTTTGTAAAATTGGTTGGTCTTGCACTTGAAATAATAAGACTTGTGTTTCCACATCAAAAGTTATTCAAACTCAAACTCTTGATATTCAGTTAGTTTATACTTCCCAGTTCAAAAGGTTTAAAGTAATTATACATGTTTCTTTGTATTTCAACAAAATATGCTTAACTAGTTTAATCAATTGATTCGACATAAAATGCAATTAACCTGTAACTTCAGAACGCATCTCGCGAAAAGCTATTACAATTTGAATATACCCACTTTCTACCATTTAAAATAATGTTCTTTTTGTTTGAATTGTTAAGTTTTTATAAATTCATAAGTGCTCATTCAAATCATTATTAAAAAGATAAATACATACAATAACTTCAACGGCAGAATATAATTGTTTTAAGTAAATCGGGTTTTAACTTGCGACAGTTGTTTTCAAATTTTCTTCAATTTGATTGGTCAAACATGACGTTAGAAAAATTTTGATTGGATAACCAATGACAACAAACCATTCTCGTCGAGTACGGGAATTTCTTTGCTTGTCTGGTTTACAAAAAATGGGCTTAAAGTAAATAAGTTAGTGGTAAAAAAATAAAACCGTTCTAAATATTTGGCAAGATGGCAGCTTCCATGTATAGAATTTTACTTAATAGATTAATTCTTATATTGCTGCAGTTTTACATTGTTGCGGGTTCTCAGAACGACTCATTTTACTCATTTTCCGTGTTAGATTCAGAACAAAACAGCATTTCCTTCAAAAACTACATTGGAAAGGTTCGCTTCTATATTTTTAGAAGAATGAGAACGATTCGCCCCGCTAACCTTTCGCCCCTAAGATTTGTACCATTTTGCATACACGAGTTAATAGTTCAGACCTACATCAAAATTTAAATGATACCCAAATCATGGAAAAATAATTCACAGGAACTTGAAATTTAATCAATACAAGTTACAACACAAAATATATGTTTAATATGAAATAAGGCAAAGCCTATGAACGGGGAAGTCGTTAAAAAATTCCTTTCATTCTTTCTGTTTTAAAGGTGTCATTCGGTATTACATGCACCGCTTCCGTTTTCACTCGGAACACTCGACGTTTATTATTTATCCGAAAAGTTGAGATTTGTTCCGTTATCGGAATACCCCGCCTATTATCATTGAGTTACATTGTAAATGGCGGCGCCCGACTAGAACTGACACTGAAAATTTCATTGATAGGTATAGAATTCTATATATTTTTTAATTGTTTTTTATTTGATTTTCTTTTAAATATACACGTTTAGTCTATAGCCGGGCAAGCCAAAGCCCGGACTCGCTTTGCGGGCCCGGTCTTTGACTTCCCCGTAATATGGCAAAGCCTTAGTCTACATGCACCACTTCCGTTTTCACTCGGAACACTCGACGATTATTATTAATCCGAAAAGTTGAGATTTGTTCCGTTATCGGAATACCCCGCCTATTATCATTGAGTTACATTGTAAATGGCGGCGCCCGACTAGAACTGACACTGAAAATTTCATTGATAGGTATAGAATTCTATATATTTTTTCATTGTTTTTTTATTTGATTTTCTTTTAAATATACACATGTAGTCTATAGCCGGGCTTCGCGGGCCCGGTCTGTGACTTCCCCGTATTAGTGATATAGCCCTTATATCTATATAAAACACACAGTGTTTTTTATATAGATATAAGGGCTATATCACTAATATACGTATATTTTGTGTTGTATTGATTAAATTTCAAGTTCCTGTGAATAATTGCAATCTACATCAAAAAATCTTGGATGAGTCCCTTTAAGATGGTTAAACAGTTTATTTGTTGGGTATTTAGATACATCAATTTGTTAGGTATTTATAGCCAATAGTATAGTATACCTATAGGCAATACTAAGGATACATCAAGTCCAAACGATAAATCATTATTTTTTATTTTAAAAATCTAAATGGCCTAATGTCATTTGGTATGAAGCAGTGTCTAACAAGTTATTATTAGTTATAAGTTATTATGCATATTGCCCATTTACAAAAGTTATGGTCAGAAATTGTTTAACCCTTTACTTCATGAGCATATTGTGAAAAATGGCCGTTTTCATTGAAAAGCCTCCTGTTACAATAAAACTGAAAAATGTTTCATACTTACCAGTATGAAACTTGGCACAAATGTTGACTGGACCATAGCCTCTGTAACAGCAGCATGCTCAATCTTAAATTTCCTGTTACAATGGCACAGAGGGACGTCTCAAAATTACCAAAAATCACTATTTTGCATTGTTTTTTCCCATCAAAACTGATTTCAAAGTGCTGCAACTTCTCAGTGGATTGAGATAGAGTAAAAGGCTTTTCAGTGTTGGTTACATGTTACCTTACGTATCGACCTGAGACCATTTTTAGCCTGTCACATGTCCAAAATTTTCTTGGTGATGATGGGGGTGCCAACCTTCAAACCCCAAAACAGAAGGGGGCACATCCTTTGAACAGTGTTTTGGGAATTTTTTCACTGTTTGAGGCCTCAAGGGGGGGGGGGGGGTTTGTGAAAAGCCGTCAAAACACCTACAGGGCCAAAAAACCCTTTTTTGTAGTGGCCGAATATAGGCTGCTTCCCCAACCAAATTAGCCTCTTTTTTTCCCCAGATTGTTCCTCAAAATTCCCCAGTATTTTGAAATTTCCCATAGAATTTAGAACAAAATTAAATGGTGGTGTTGAATTAAGGTCTTTTACTGCCTTATTAGTATTTCCCAGTGCTTTTTGCTTTTCTATTTTGAAGAACTTGTTAAAAGTTTGAGTTAAATTTGATACCCCTTTTCCAAAAGTATGCCAAAGTCACGTATATTTTCCCCAAGAAAAAGGCTGAGGCCCCATCCCCAAAAATGGTGTTTTGGCCCTGACCTATATGAGGTAAAGGGTTTACCTTTGGAAACTTTTCAATCTAGTTTATGACTATGAGCTGATGTATTTTATGTGAAATATTAAAGAAGTTTTTCAGACATTGTTTTTGAAAATGAAATTGTGATTATTAGATCATATGCAGAGCTTGTATGGGCTTTTAAGATTGAAGTCTGCAATCATTTAAAATGACTTTTAGGTCGTGTCTTGCATAGGTCTCTACCAAAAATTTGTTTGAACGATTCTGATCCATTGCATGTCTGGGTCACAGAAGTTTAAAATATTGATGAAATCCATTAAAATTCTAGATCTCAAAAGTTGCAAGAGAAAGAGCTTAGATATTTAGACAAATTTTTCTGATAATCAAACTTCAATATAACCTCCATTATTTCAAACAAACATTGACATTATCTTTGTTAAATAACAAATTGTAATATACATGTATTTGAATTATCATTATTATTTACATTTAAAGGTAACACTGGTTGTCAATGTTGCCTCAGAATGTGGATTCACAGATGCTCATTACAAGTCATTGATTAGACTTAAGAATGTGCTGCAGCCGACAGGAAAGTTTGAAATTCTAGCATTTCCATGTAATCAATTTGGCTATCAAGAACCAGGGGTGAGTTTGACTTCTGAATTATTGTATTACATTGTATTTTGAATTTCAGACAGATTGATTACTACTGTCTTGACTTTAAAGGTCCCCCAGATGTGTAAGTGTAATGTGTCATTATGTGTATAGTATTTCAAGAGATTGGATTAATTCTACTACATGTACAATACTTTTGTAAGCAATTTGCTTTGACTTCATTTGATAATTCATATTACATGTATTAAGGTTGAGAGTTTACTTCTTATTTGTGAAGGCAAGATACTTATTGTTTACACGTTTTCCAAAAGTCTAACTTGCAATCATTTAAATGGAAAATTAAAAAATATTGTATTATTGCCTGCTATATTGGTGACATTTCTTTTGTATGGCCCCATCTGTCTGTCTGTACAAGGTTAACCAATTAAAACCAGCAAGTTGGATCTATCTTCATACATTCTTTATTTTATCATTGTAGAGTGATGCTGATATTCAGAAGTTTGTGATGGAGATGTACCATGTTAATTTTCCAGTACTTGGCAAGGTAGATGTAATTGGAGAAAATGCTTCCCCAGCCTGGAAATATCTCACCTGTATGTTCTCTCTATCAAACTTGTGTAATTCAATTTCATTTAAAACTTTGATTCCAAATTTTTAGAATTCAGTTTCATAACTTACTCATAAGTTATTGTTTTAGAACTTGCTGACTTGTTTTGTTGGGTTTTAAGTCATATCAACAGTGTTAAGGTTTAGAGCTTATGAATGAAGGTAAAGTTCTAACTTCTGTATGCCACATATGAGTTTTTTGCTTTAGAGTTTCTGGTTTAAAGTTCAGTTTTATATTTCACATATTTGTTTTAGCATTATCATATAACTTTCTTATAGTTATAGTTTAGTTGTGTACCATACTATCTCTCTTGAATTTTTATGTTAACAGGTCTTCGGGTTTTATACCATTAATCCAGCTCTTTCCTTTATATGAATTTCTTTTCTTGCGATTCTGGGGTTATTTATGTTGATTCACTTGGATGTAGTATTTTGTGAAGGACTTTGTGTAAGAATCATAGCAGAGTTCACATATCTGAATTGTTTAGAGCAGCGTTTATTCACCTTTCCTGTATGTTTTATATGCAGCCTCATTTGGAACAGAACCAAATTGGAATTTCTGGAAGTATTTAGTGGATGAGAATGGGGAGGTGGTAAATGCATGGGGACCAAGAACTTCTGTGGAGGACATATTTCATGAAATTAAGGAAAGTATAGATAAGATTGGCTACAATAAACCACCATACAGAGGACATCATCATGATGATAGTCTATGAACCCGTGAATTGTTAAGATAAACTTTATTCTACATATGAATTGGAAATCAAGATTATTTTTGATAATATTTTCACAATATGAATATTTTGTGTTGAATGATATTTGATTTGATATAGAATGTACGATTTTTCATCACAGATAATAATTTCAAAAGACCAGTTTATTCTATACATGTTTTAACAATGGCTAGACTTTTTGTGCCATATTACTGTACAAATATATGTATACAAATATTTTTACGCCAAATGAAAGACACTTTAAGACTGTATTGTGAATAAGGAAGTTTTGTATGTTGAAATAATCAAGATAAAATAGGCATTGAATAAAAAAGTTATTTGACAGTATTTAATACAAAACAGGGATATATTTGGATAAGTAACTTAGCTGTACAAACAATGATTATTAGAAAAGCCTAACAGACTTACTGATCTTAAGTTTATCTCCACTATTAAAAAAAATGTCTGTACACAGTAAACACATACCTTCTAGAAAGAATGGTAAGAATGTGTTTCCTGTCAAAACTTCAACCAATTAATTTCATAAAGTCGAGCGGCGTCCACAGCAGAGTGGTTAAAGTTGTTGTCTTCAAACAATTTGCCCTCACAGCTGTGGGTCAAGTTCTGATGGGACTTTGGATTATTTAACATGAAAAAGCTACCAAGCTGGCTTACGGAACATTGGTGGTTCTACTCAGGTGCCTTAAATAATCCACAGCAGGGCACCTGACGTCTCCCTCCACCAGGAAGGCTGGAAATTTGCCATATGACATATACTATGTTGGTATGACATATTACCCAACAACAACAAAACAAAAATAAAGTCAAAGACCGTATTATATCATTAATTTTGTTACATGTGTGATTTTGGTGCTGCAGCAATTGTCTATGCAAGTGCATATTGCTTTACATTTTTGTTTTATGTTCATAGCATAATGATTATGCTATTTGAATAGATTAAAATCATTTTCTGTTTACATTTTTCTACATTTTTTAGCTCGACTTTTCTATGAAAAGGGGAGCTATCCTACTCGCCCCGGCGTCGGCGTCGGCGTCGGCGTTAGCGTTAGCGTTGGCGTCACACCTTGGTTAAGTTTTTCGTACCACCCCACTTTATTTCAGAAGTATTACAAGTATGGCTTTGAAACTTACCATACTTGTTCACCATCATAACCTCCATCTACAGACAAGAGTACATAACTCTGTCAAGGTTTTTGACAGAATTATGGCCCTTTTTTGACTTAGAAAGTGTATTGAGCTTGGTTAAGTTTTTTGTACCACCTGCACTTTATTTCAAAACCATTGGAGGTATTGCTTTGAAACTGACCATACTTGTTTACCATCACGACCTTCATCAACAGACAAGAGGACATAACTCTGTCAAGGTTTTTGACAGAATTATGCCCCTTTTTGACTTAGAAAATACATTGAATATGGGTAAAATCCACTTATTGCCTTAACCCTTTGAGATATTGCTTTGAAACTTTTAATGCTATTTCACATCATTACCCCCATCTGTACGCAAGAGAAGGTAACTCTGTCAAGGATTTGTTTTAAAAATTAAGGCCTTTTTATCGACTTAGAATCTTGGTTAAGTTTTTTGTACCACCTCACTTTATTTCAAAACCATTGGAGGTATTGCTTTGAAACTGACCATACTTGTTTACCATCACGACCTTCATCAACAGACAAGAGGACATAACTCTGTCAAGGTTTTTGACAGAATTATGCCCCTTTTTGACTTAGAAAATACATTGAATATGGGTAAAATCCACTTATTGCCTTAACCCTTTGAGATATTGCTTTGAAACTTTTAATGCTATTTCACATCATTACCCCCATCTGTACGCAAGAGAAGGTAACTCTGTCAAGGATTTGTTTTAAAAATTAAGGCCTTTTATCGACTTAGAATCTTGGTTAAGTTTTTAGTACCAGTCCACTTTTTGACTGAACTGTTTGAGATATTAATTTGAAAGTTGGAATACTTGTTTACAATCATGATTCCCAAACATGTCCAGGAGAAGGTAATTCTGTCAAAGATTTTATTTGAATTATGGCCCTTAACTGTCAATGTTTTGTATTATAGGCAAGCACTAAAAAAGTCGAGCGCGCTGTCTTACGGACAGCTCTTGTTCATATTGTAGTTTATGCATGGTTTGTGAATATGTTTAAAATAATTATCAGTAATTTCTTTCAGATTCTATCATTGACAGAGCTTTTTGCTTTTTAATTCCACTTGCTGCATCTGTACTAAGACTGTAGATTTTACTAACATAAATTAGGAGATAGGAATATTTTATTAGAGAAGAAAATAGATTTTAACATTTTTTTTTATTTTGGCTAAATATTACTCATGAAAAAAACGCTTCCCAAAAGATTGTTTTTTTTAAAATTGAAATAGTGGTTAATTTCGACTAATAGTCTCTCAAATACTTGTGTTAATCAATGTTATATTATTTTTTTATATATATTGATTTGTTGACGTCAACGACGTCATTTCCTGTATACATAACATAGTGTAAAATAAGACAGGTAAGAAGATAAATATGTGATTTATAAAAATAAACAGAAACTGCTTGAAAAAGAGGGGTTTAACCCCTCAAAACTTTGGAGGTAGAAAAGTAGATAAAATATATATTATTGTTGAAGATTCTTACCTTAAATTGCAACTTTTTTTACAAGGAGTTATTTAGCAAAAGTTCTAGTATATGACATTTTTGTCATTATTGATATATGTTTTTGTTCAAAGTATTTTACACTTATTGTTTTACTTTGATATGTGCCAAAACTTGCTTTTTTCTAGTCCCTGAAAGTGTTAGTGAGTACATTTTTATACATTGTACATTGAAGTTTAATTAGATCTGGGAAATAATATAACAGGACAAACAACTACCTACAGGATAAGTGGTCTTATGTTTGCATCCAACTGACAGCTGATCCATCAATAAACGTAGTGTTCAGATACCATTACATGTATATTTAATTATAATGATTGACAGCTGATCCATCAATAAACATAGTGTTTAGATACCTTTACATGTATATTTTATTATAATAAATGACATTGAAAATTTTTTATGTTGAAAAAAATGTCAAAACAATGAAAATACTAAAAGGCTGTTAAAATCTTACTTTAGTTGGGTTTTATAGGGTATATTTGTTTGTTTTTTAGTGAATATGCTATATATGACACTGAGAAATTGCAGTATCTTCACAAGTGTGAAGCGCGAGGGAAAATATTTCTCACTTTGATGTTACATATATATAGAATATGTAGCATATTTACGAAACACAGCTTTAAAGTTCTAAATTCTGGGTTACTGTCCTGTTGTATTATGTTCTAATTGAATCACTACAAATTGTGCAATTGAATTTATTCTTAATGTCACTTTACATTACAGTTTTACACTGCTTTACTATGATTGTAATTTGTAATAAAACTTAAAATAATGAAAATAGTTAGCCTTATTTATTTATTATTTAGGAAATAGATATCAATTCTGAGTGCATTGTTGTAGAATAATGCACGGTTTGAGTTCAAATGCGTAGTAATATAATCACGAAGGCCGATAGGCCTGAGTGATTAACTACTAAGCATTTGAACGAAAAACGTGCATTATTATACAATAATACACGAAGATAACGTGCATTATTATACAATAATACACGAAGAATTAATATCTATTTCCATTCTAACACGTCAGGAAAAAATATAATTATTATTATAAAGTTGGACTTTATGTTTGGTGGATCAAATTTGTTTTCGCCTCAGAGTTTCCAATAGATACGTTCTTTAAAGGCTGTTTCAGTGGGTTGAAAAAAACTGTCGTTCAATCTTCCGTGTGTAGAAACATTTTCAGAATAACGAATTTTGAAAACGTTGATAAAACTTAGTTTGTTTATTTTATTTCACTCTATAATTTTTCAAGCGAAAAACAAATTATTAAAAGTGGAATAAATGTTAAACTTAACTCGTTTGCGACATTAAAATAGCGTTCTTGATTCAATTGTTTTGCATGTGTTGTTTGGCGCTACATTGTGACGTCACGTAAACAACACTTTAAACATCTGTACAGCGTTAACGACTGAATTAAAGATATTGGTGTTCGGATTCATTTTCTTAGTTAGACCATTTTCTTTCATTCTAGATAGTTTTTACAACAAAATTCGACAAAAAATGTTTTTATTTATCAGATTTTTCAAACAAAATGGCGCCCTCAATGTGAAAATACATGGGAAGATAATAAGAACGGCGAGTGCATTGTTGTAGTATAATGCACGCTTCAGGCCTTCTTTGTATATGTAGAAACAATTAAATCCGATAGTGTTAGAATGTTTATTTTGTAAATGTTGCGATAGATCTACTTGAGTTAACTCTTAAACTAAACAAGTTGAATAAAACTTGTTTTAATCTGATATTTGAGAAAGCATTTTCCAGGAGATATAATATCAGTGATATGGATATTTATTACCCTTCCAGATTTTTTCCGCCTTTTTGATTGGATATTGATCACCCGAAAGAAATTGATATTACCGAGCCAGACGGGTAATATACACATTAAATTTCCCCGATGGGTACCCCACGTTGTAAACAACATGCGCCATGCGATGCGCGTACGGTTTGATTTTATGCGATATAAATTCCGATTTACAAGCACTTTTAAACTGTCAAATGATAAATATTTACCAAAACAGAGTAATGATACATATTCTCGTTAGTATAGGAAACAAATATGACCTTTTGAAAGCTTGATATTAGTTCCAAAAAAGTGCGTTCAACAGACTACTCCTTTTCTCTTGTTTACATCCGTTATGTTCGAAAGAGAATACGTCATGTATTTATGTGACGTCATGTTATGGTAAAGGGGTATCCTACAGGGAATCTTATTTCGACGTTTCATTTGAAGTAGCAATGATTTATTTTAAAATCGTCTTAACTCGGCACGGGAAGGGTGATAAAATTATTATTTTGGTTTTGGAGTGATATATGTGGATATATATTACCTGTCAAGATAAAATATCACCCTCGCCTAACGGCTCGGGTGATATACAATCTTGACAGGTAATATATCCACATATATCACTCCAAAACCAAAATAACATATAATATATAGGCCTACCGTATATCCTCAACATATCTGATCTGATGAAGTTTGTAGGAAATAGACACAAGTCTACAATATGTTGGTTTGTCCAAGTGAGATTGTATTAGCTCAACTATTATATTTATAGATGTTTAGAGACATCCTACTTGCCTAAGTGACTGTGAATAAGTAAGTGTTGACTTTGGTCAAGTGTCCTTTGTACCTCCCAATTTTAGCTTGACATTTTTTAGAAAAAAAGGTATTGTTACTTTCATGGCGTCGTTGCTGTTGCCATCCGCAAAGTTTAACCTTGATCATAACTTTTTAAGTTTGTTTTCATACTTTGCCACAACAACCCTTTGGGTAGACAACACTAACCTTGACCTTCATTTATAAATGACCTTGACCTTCAAGGTTAAATGTCTAGATTTTGCTTGATTTTGCTATTAGTGTCTGTAACTTTGTTATTTTTGAATGGATTAACCTTTAAGTTGACAATGACCTTAAGGTCAAGGCATTGAAATTTCATTTTTTTTTGCTGAAACTGGCTATAACTTTGTTATTAATGAATGGATTGACTTCATTATAAGGCAAAACATTCTTTAGGCTAAGACCTTCATGAATATCAAACTCAAATGGATCTTTGCTCATTATGACCTTGACCTCAAAGTTTAAATTATTAAATTTTAACTGATTTTTGCTTTAATTGACTAAAACTTGGTAATAAATAAATGGATAATAGTCAAACTTGAACAAAACAAAACAATCTTTTTGACATGCCCTTCTTGAAGGTTGAATGACCATAAGCTTTAAATAACATTGACAAGGTCAAATTATTGAATTTTGGTTATATATTCATCATTTTGTTATTTATGTACGGATTTGATTTATATTTGGACAAAGCATACTTGCTTCCAAACAAACATATTGAATAATTTAGATGTGACCTTGATCACAAATTGACTTTGACTGTGAAGGTCAAACTAATGTGACATTGACCTTTAATTGACCTTGACCATCAAGGTCAAATTAATGAAATTCTCTTGTGTTTTTTTTGTAACTGGCTATGACGTTGATATTTATAAATGAATAAACTTCATATTTAGACACAACTTCTTTTAGGTCAGGATCTTCATATATATCAAATTCAAAGTGACCTTGACTCATGTATGACATTGACCTTGAAGGTCAAATTATTGAAATTTCACTGATTAATGCTATAATTTGCTGTAGCTTGGTAATTAATCAATGGATTATCTTCATACTTGGACAAAACAACCTTTTGGTCAAGACCTTCTTAACGGTTGAAATGATCTTGAGCTTTAAATGACCTTGACCCTCAAGGTCAGACCTTGACCCTCAAGGTCAGACCTTGACCCTCAAGGTCAGATTATTGAATGTCAGTTGAATTGTCATAATTTTGTTATTTATGTACAGATTTGATTTATATGTGGACAAAACAACACTTGTGACCAAACGAACATGTTGTATATATAATTTAATTATAAATAGGCTAGAATCACTGTAAAGTGTATTGAAACTGAGGGGCGTGGGTTCAAACCCCAGAAGGGACAACTTTTTTTTTCTTTCTTTTTTTTCTTTTTAACATTTTTTATTAATCTCTCAGATCCCTAATGGAAGAAAAAAGTGTTTTATTTTAATTATATAATTTTTGTAGTTATTTATTTACTAAATAATGCCAAATTTAATAGCAAATATGATACCAGATATTTTCAAAGTTTAATAAAATAAAAACTACACGGTAAAAGTATTTATATTTTGCAAGACCAAACAATATACATTTTAGAAAATTTAGGCAAACTTTGAAAACAGCCCCTCATTGTGGAAAATTTTAGGGTTATTTCAAAAAAGACTTTTACACATGGAAATGGTCAAATAAGTGTTAAAAGTGGGTGGGGTAGGGTTACATTTTTATACATATTTAAAACATTTCGTTTAAAAGCAATCATTTTGCTTGATTAATTTGTTACCTAAATGTCATTATTTGTTTCTTAACAATGAGCAATATACCTTAATGTACTGTAATGCAACAGGAACAGGACACTTAAGTCTTCTAGACACTTCATCCCCCAAAATTATGAGAATACAAGTTTTAAAATATTGTAACTTCTTTTAATTAAAAAAAAATGTAAGTGTTCTGAACCACCTGAAAAATTGACATCTGAGACAAATTTGAGATTATATGTGTACCGCTACGTTTTAGTGGTCGTTAACCGTCGCCGAGCCGGGAAGCAGTCATTTGTCAACAAATAATGGCGGATAGTGGAAAGTACGTCATTCGTTAAAATTGATGATTTATGTACATTATTGTTAACGATTCCAGTAAAATCATATCAGAAGTAAAGATCAGTTAGGGTTGAATATTTCTAGAGATTTATACAAATGCACACTCTTTCATTTTAAGTATATAATGAATTTAATTTTCTTTGTCAGTGAATAATTTATTTCGGATAGCAACTACTGTCCTGAGACAGAGAAGAAAGTTCTGCATTGTAAAATTTAGGGAACATGACAATACCCCGCGGGTAAAAGCAATCCCATCAAAGAATAAAATTGTGATCAAAATCCCTGCCATTATGCCAAAAATTACCCCCCCCCCCCCTTAACTTTTTTATGTAAATTTCATTGGAGGGCTGTCTACTTTATTACCAGTTATATCAATGGGAGAACTTGCATCTGCAGTGTTATGTTTAGATGTGAGTGCTTTGCCAAAGATTGTTGCTCAGTCACGCATATGGTAATTTTTCTGGTTGCAAGGGTAAACAAACAAACGCATACACAAACTCCAGGAGAGCTTTAGTTCTAGTATTCTTGCATATCAGACAGGATTATCTACCTTTTTGGCGGTGCTAGAAAACCCTGTCTAACACCCCCCATGTAAGACAAGTTGCGTGCTTCAAATGACGTCATTGCCGCGCCTTTTATGAATGAATTGCGTTCTATGGATGACATCATTTTATGTTATGAATGAAGTTTGTAGGTTCATACGCTACTATAAGAAAAAAGTGCGTAATGAAAATATCAGTATATTTCTGTTCCGAGGATAAATGACATTTAATATGCAAGAAATAGAATCAAACACTGGCTGCCGGTACAGACGGGAATATCTAGCTCTCGGGTAACTGTTTTGCGGAAACTCGGCAGAGCCTCGTTACCGTCGTAATCAGCTACGCTCGAGCTAGATATTCCGGTCTGTACCGGCAGCCTGTGTAAGATTCTTATACTCATTCACTCGGTAGCTCAGTTCCTAAATTATATTGGAACTTAACCATGTCCAGCCTTTCCCCATCCTAATTCAATGCAGGAAGTCAATAATACAATGAATTAAAATAATCACTCAAAAATAGTTGGCTACATTCCTATTATTTCTTGTCATGCATTTACCAATTAGATAAGCTGTGTTATTTTGGCATATAATTGACAGGCTGACCCATTGATTGTAGTGTTAAGATCATCATTAATTGATACAATTTTTAAAAAAAAAATAAGATAAACTTTCAAAACATTACTTTAAGACCATTTAATTTTAAATACAAAAGGACTTCTTAATATAAAACCTTATGCCAGTTATTACCACAGACACAAAGATACCATTTCACATCAATCAACAAGAGAACCTTTTCAGTGACGTTTCACCTTACATAATACTAGAGGCAAATAAAAGGCCTCTTCCAAACTTTATGCAGTTTTCCCAAGTCAAGTCAATTTTATTTATAAGTCGGAATCATATAACAATAAATACGACTTATATGTGCTAAATAAAAGGTTTTATTTTACAACAGCTTTTCAGTTTCCAAGTAAGCAATATTTAGTGATCATTTTCCCCAAAATTAAGAGGCAACGACATTTTACCAATTAAGTGAGTAAACTGACTATCTTATTGGAAGAAATGATAAAATATTGTTTATCTCCAGTTGCTAGTTGCATTATATTATGTCCCAGTTCATTTTTTTACAATTTCCGTTTAAAGATACTTACGTCTGGAGTTTGTTTCTTTAATTTACTGGTACATGTATATATGTAGTATTTTGAGAAGAGGAAAATATATGATGTTCCAGATCATATCATAATTAAAATCATGCCAGTATCTCATAATGTGAGTTGCCAATTATGCAGTAAAATTGAAAGACCACACAAATTGTGCATTAGTAGACTGAAATAGTTTGTTTTTTCCTCAAATGTAAAACTCCAAGATGTGTCAGACAGCTGTTTCTTGGGTTTATATTTTTTCCTGGTAAATGAGTTATCATACAGGTACATTTAGTGATACTTTGAGGAAGCCTAAAGAGAATCTCATTTCATGTGGATCTCAAACCCATAACCTCTAGATTTGCAGTTTGGTGCTCTACTATTAAACTACTAATTGTACCATTCGCTCCACCAAAATGTAATTATTTATTTAAGAAAACTATGCTTTTAACATCATGATAGAATTGATATATCTGAAATTTATCTAATGATTATTTATATGTTTACAGTAATTCAGATGGAAGTGGCGGTGGATGGTGGGGGAGCTTTATTGCTTCTGCTAAAGAAAAGGTAAGACAAGTCACTCTAACATTGTTAAATTTGTATTATGAAATAGTTAAAGAAATTAAAATATTAAATGATAAAAGTATAGAGCCTGGTTACATCACAAATATGTGAAGACAGTACTCACCAGGTTTCACAGGACGTTTAATTATCAGATATTGTATTATACAAATGTATATTATTGTTTACAAATTCATCAAGTTGTATACATTTTACATCACATGGATACCTATTATATGAAGTTTTACATATTGGACACATTGTATGATAAATTCTAATACAAGAGTTTATAATTTCCCATAAAAATTAATATGTTGCTTTGATGTAACTATGATCAATTCACAATTACAATTACAATTTATTTTATATGTATTTATATTCAAAGGCTTAGAATCAATAGTGAAATTTTTCTCATCTTTTTCAGTATTGCTTTATTGAATTAATTAAGCTGAATATAGATTATACCAGAATTGTGATAAAAGCACCAAGCTTATCAATGTATTTCTGGATTGATTAAATATGGCAAATATCTGAACAACATAAAACAGATATTGTTAATCATTACAGTCTGGGAAAGTATATGAGATGGTGAGCAATGATTTATCAGAATTTACCAACACCATGCAAGCTGACACGAAACAGGTGGTAGAGAAAACAAAAGAAACATTAAAGGTATTTCCATGCTGCTTTTATTTTGTACGTTGCCTATGAGTCAACCTGATTTTGTGAAGTTCTCTTGTTAACAATATCAATAATTTGAAAAGGTGTGTTTGTGCAATACATTTGTAATTTGAAAAGGTACGTTTGTGAACATGCTTGGAGATATTTCTATGATTTTTATTTAAATGCTTGCAAAATATCTAGAATATAGCCTTCCTTATTCTATAGAAGCATGATTTAATTGCTCCATATATAGATGTAGATATAAAGTTGTCAATGAAAATATCCTTTCATTTTATATTCACTAGAAAGCTTTAATATATTCATTGATGCTAAGTAGGGAAATGTTCTTTACCTTTTGCATTTGATGACACCCATTCATTTTGAAGTCATGAGGTCATTACCATAAAAGTGATAGCATCGTAATATTAAATATGCAACTGTTGTTTTCTGTTTGCATTTTGTAGACTAGCGCAGAGGGTTCTGATAACCTGAATGCTACAGATAAAATGAAGCAAAGTTTTCACAGTCTGATGTCCGGTATCACTAGGGTGCTTACAGTAGAGCCCGAAGATACATCTCCTCCCAAAAAGTCTGTGTCACAACCAGGTACTGGCATATTTGATAGGGCCAAGGTAAGTTATTTAAGATACACACTTGTATTTTAAAAGTAAATTGTCTTCAAAAATATACAGAAAAATTATATCAACAATAACATACTGCTCATTTAGGATAATCATAGAGTGACAAGGCAGTTGTGTCCAGTATAATGGTGTTAAACTATTGTGGTACTGTTAGACAAGTTATTCGTCCAGCAGGATTTGCAATTATTGAAACACATACCAACTGTCTGCATAGAACAGGTGGTTCACTTGTTATCTTTTCAAATTTCTAGTTGCAATGCAATGTTTTGGACTGTATTCTTCTCTTTTTTTAATACAAAATTGACAATTTAATAATCTTTTGTGTATTTTTGTTTTGTTTCTTTCTTGTAAAGACTCTAGAAGAGTTTGTTTGTTTTATATTTTTATGCATTTTTCTTATGTTTTCTTTATAAATTTTCTTATTTCTCATTTTTGTTGTAAAAAAAAAGCATTATATTGCATTACATCTATTTGATTTTGTCATTTACAAGATGCCTGTATTACACAATGAAGAATATTTTGTCATTCTGGTAATTTTTATTAATTTTACTATCAAAAGTCAATGTATTTTAAGCCATATCTAGCAAGTCGGTGCGACCATATACTCAAAGGAATGCATAATCATGTATGTACACACATTGCATTAACTATAGATTAGTTGGCACATACTTGTGCACTGTACTTATACTATTTGTACTAAACACTTAGCTGGACAATAATTCATTGTTACCGAATATATTTTTATGTAGTTTAATATTTAGACAATATAACAAAGCTACATAAACTTAGGTATGGCGTTTAAATTTACATCTGATGTAAAGTTGGAAAAAGATTGAAAGAAATGAGAACTTGTGAAACAGGAGCTCATGACAAAATGTTTGATCTTATGCAATCCCAATGAATTTACAAAGTTTGTCATCCATTTATTTGTAAATCTACTGTTATATTTGCTTCTTTTAGACTCTTATCTTTTCATACATTGGTTTTAAACTTTTTTGTACACATGAAATGAAACATCAACATCACATTATCATAGAAAGACAGTAAATGGAAGATTTTTAGCTTAATAATTCAAGAATAGTAGACTCTCCTATTTATCGCAGCTTTGGCATACAACATAGTTTTGCTGTTTCATATCTCATAATCAGTTGAAGATACTCACTTGAAAGCACATGCCTTTAGTTAAGTAATTGTAGGTCAATGTCCAAGACCTGTAACTCTAGTGGGAAGTTTTACTAAATTGTAGCCCTTTTTAGCTCACCTGTCACAAAGTGACAGGGTGAGCTTTTGTGATCGCTTTTCGTCCGGCGTCCGTCCGTCCGTCCGTCCGTCGTCCGTCCGTCGTCCGTAAACTTTTACTTTAAATGACATCTCCTCATAAACCACTTGGCCAATTTCATCCAAACTTCACAGGAATGTTCCTTTGGTGGTCAGCTTTAAAAATTGTTCAAAGAATTTAATTCCATGCAGAACTCTGGTTGCCATGGCAACCGAAAGAAAAAACTTAAAATATCTTCTTTTAAAAAACCCAAAGAGGTAGAGCTTAGATATTTGGCATGAAACATCTTCTAGTCAGTGTCTACCAAGTTTGTTCAAATAAAAGCCCTGGGGTCAAAATTGGCCCCGCCCCAGGGGGTCATTGATTTTCACATATATGCATATAGTAAAACATTAAAAAATCTTCTTTTAAAGAACCCAAAGAGCTAGAGCTAAGATATTTAGCATGAAACATCCTCTAATGGGTGTCTACCAAGTTTGTTCAAATAAAAGCCCTGGGGTTAAAATTGGCCCCGCCCCAGGGGGTCATTGATTTACCCTATATGCATATAGTAAAATCTTAAAAAATCTTCTTTTAAAAAACCCAAAGAGGTAGAGCTAAGATATTTGGCATGAAACATCTTCTAGTCAGTGTCTACCAAGTTTGTTCAAATAAAAGCCCTAGGGTCAAAATTGGCCCTGCCCCAGGGGGTCATTGATTTTCCCTATATGCATTTAGTAAAACCTTAAAAAATCTTCTTTTAAAGAACCCAAAGAGCTAGAGCTAAGATATTTAGCATGAAACATCCTCTAATGGGTGTCTACCAAGTTTGTTCAAATAAAAGCCCTGGGGTCAAATTTGGCCCCGCCCCAGGGGGTCATTGATTTACCCTATATGCATATAGTAAAAACTTAAAAAATCTTCTTTTAAAAAACCCAAAGAGCTAGAGGTTAGATATTAAGCATGAAACCTCTTCTAGTGGGTGTCTAACAAGTTTGTTCAAATAAAAGCCCTGGGGTCAAAATTGGCCCCGCCCCAGGGGGTCATTGTTTTTCCTTTTATGTATATAGTTAAAACATAAAAAATCTTCTTTTAAAAAATCTTAAAAGCTAGAGCTAAGATATTTAGCATGAAACATCTTCTAATGGGTGTCTACCATTTTTGTTAAATTTAGGGCCCTGGGGTTAAAAAATTGGCCCCGCCCCGGGATCATTGATTTTCCTTTTATGTATATAGTAAAAACTGAAAAAATGTTCTGTTAAAAAGCCCAAAGAGATAGAGTTTAGATATTAAGCATGAATTATCTTCTAGTGAGTGTTTACCAAGTTTGTTCAAATAAAAGCCCTGGGGACAAAATTGGCCCGCACAGAGGGGGTGGGTCATTGTTTTTCACTATATGTGTTTAGTAAAAACTTACAAATTTTCTTAGAGCTAGAGCTTAGATATTTATCATGAAACATCCTCTAATTGGTGTTCCACAAGTTTGTTCAAATAAAAGCCCCTGGGTTAAAATTAGCCCCGCCCCGGGGGCCTATATACAGGTGAGCGATTTCAGGGCCATCATGGCCCTCTTGTTATATTTAGTTTATCCAAAGCTTTTGCATATCATGTAAAGTGTTCATTTGAAACCTCTCAAAATGCTTCTGCGTCATAATTGTAGGTCAAGTATTGAAAATAGTCAAGTGAGCTTGTGCAGAAGCTCTGGTTTATTTTGTAGTATCATGTTGAGTTTTACAAAAAGTAGTTGTGAAGTTTGGCATTGAACAATGTCTCAGTAAAATTGCAAACTTCATATTTTATGTGAACATTTGCTTTAAAATGAGTGTAAAAGAAAGGAATAAATGCACTGAAGGCATGTTTGTTTAAGAATGATTAGGAAAATATTAACTATTTTTGATTAAAGTCATTTTTGAAGTTTTAGTTATAAAGTGAAGTTAAGATACTTTGTCAGAAGATGCAGAAGATGCAGAAAAAAAATCCAAGTACAGTTGTCAAAGACTTTTGTTGCAATGTGTATAAAACATGACACTATCTGTGTATTTGATTTCAATGCATTCTTCTTGATAATATTCATGTTTTAAATTAATGCATATAGGGTAAATTTCATATTTTATATTAAAGGCAAGGCTGCGAGCTATCCAGGTAGATACAGGTACCTACCTACAAGAACCAAGTGGACCTTCAGAAAAGTATGCTGATTGGCTGAAAACATTTGACCTTGACACACATAAAGGTGATATCTCTGAACTTCTTGTAACTATGGTGGAAGTGAGGTCATTATATACTTCACTGGTAAGCATGTTTTTACTTATGCATCCACTGAAAAAGTGGAGAGTAGGAATATTTCCCATAGCCAGTAGATAAATGGAAACTTGCTATAACAGCATTTGCTATATCTGAAGTTTACTGTATTACTTACTAAAATAAAACTTGACTGTAATGAAATATGTATCAGTATGTACATATGCCACTGTGATAGCACATGAAGCCAGAGCATGTGTACACATTACTAGTTATTTCTTTCAAGTGACTTCTTCCTGACACCTCACTACCTGGAAAAGAAAGCATGAGCTATATTACAGATACAAATGTAATAACATTAGTTCAGTCTGTTGACCAGTGTTTTCTGTTAGTATGCCATTATAGATAGATGGAAGTTTCTATGTGAACTTTTATTTGAAAAACAAATCAAGTAATTTTTAAATTAGAATAAAGAGTAAAAATGAAAAATATCTAACTTCAGTAAACAATTATTAAGGTTTTAATATTTGGAGAAATATGAAGATGTTTGGCTTAGTTCTATAATTCTTGAAATATGACTCTAAAAGTTTAGATATAAAATAGGTGCCATCTGAAGTGTCACACCAGGATTTTTGGAGGAGATATTTTTACAAGGTTCATCAGCTGAAGATGGATGAAGAAAGAAAACAGGCACTGATGAAGAGAGCAGAGAGAGTAGATGTGAAAGAAGATACAATAGACTGGGATGATGAAGGTATGTTAGACATGATTAAAGTTGAGGATGGGTTAGAAAAAAGTCTCAATTAACTTACATGATGAGGGTAGATCAGAACAAAAATCATACATTTGTGATTGATTTACATGATAAGGGTAGGTTATAAAGAAATCATAATTGATGTAATGGTGAGAGTAGAACAGACTAACATGATTGATGTTCAGAAAGAAGTCATAATTGACAGTGTATTTGAATGTATACATGAATTAGAAAGGAATAATAACAGACTGTGATAATGACTGTAGGCTACAGAATGTTGAATAAAACAAAATTATGTGAAATTTGTTTTTTACTTTAAGTAAGACTCTTTTAGAAAGTTATGATGTATATGACACTGTGAAATGTTTTTGAGTTGGATGAAATGTGAATGTATAATGCAGAAACTTGACATTATGGTTTTAATATATAAAAAGTTTGTAAATTATATTTCTTTCTAGGATGCTTATTACTCAAATTATTGTGCAGTTCAGCTCTTCTGAATGGGAATTTTTAGAATGGGAAATAAGTTTGTACTCACTTAATCTGTAATATTTTCTATAAATTTGAATGTCAAACACATCCATCAATCTGTCTATTAATATTTTTGATAAAGGGTTGTCAACTATTTGTATTCATTGAATTATCATTATTAAAGTAACTGAGGACAAATGAATTTTGTTACACATTATTTGCTCATATTAGATGTGTCTTGGTATATAACTGTCAACAAAGTTATCAGATATCTGGCTATCTTTCCTTGTGCTTTACATTTTATTTCAAGAAGAATCATGGAGTGGTGATGAAGATGCTACAACTAAGGAAAAGTCATCTCAAAATGAAACAAAAGAAGACCAAGAATCAAGATTGCATCCGGAAAATTCTACAACTGTACAAAAAGATAAACCTATTGAAGATGAAAAAACTCAAAAATCTGACTCCATTGTTAATGAACAAAAACTTCCTGCTCAACCAGCAGTTGATGGTGGACCAAATGAAGTAAAATTAAAACAAGATACTAATGCGGAAAGTACAAAAACTGAACCAGTTAAAGAGGAAACAATCCCTATTCTTGAACAAACAGAAAAAGTTATATCAGAAGGGTTAAAGCATATAACAGAAACTGTTAAGACAATGGTAACAGGGACTGATAAAGAGTCCGATAATTCATGTGATAAACAAGATGTAACCAAGTCTGACAGTGCAACAGAAAAGCCATCACAAACTGTTGACAATACTCGAGAAGATGTAAAACAAGAATTAGAGAATATACAACAAAAAGAAATCAGTGCAAATAAAGACAGTGGATCATGTGATACAAAAACTGTAACAAAGGAAAACAGTGAATTGAAGACTAAGGTTAAAGGTGATATGATTGTTGTTGGAGATAGAATTTCTCCCTGTTCCGAGTCAAGTGATGCTAAAGGTAATTATAACACAAGTTTTCATTAATACGATAAAGTTATTTCTCTAACTATAAAGATAATGTGATGCTTTATGTAAATATAAATGCAGTTTTCCTATATATAATGCGTTAAAGTTATTTGTCTTAAGGCATAATCTGATGTTATTTCACATTATGCTTTCAAAGTTATGTCTTCAATTTAAAATAAAGGGAAAATGTGATGCTAATGGTAATTATAAGATACTTTTCATTTATATTATGTGTTTCATAAACTTAAGGTATAATGTTGGTCAGATTGAGCAAAAGTTTAAATAGTGTTTTTTTTATTCTCATTGAGTTTGATAATATTATTGGCTAAGCTTGTCAGGCAATGACAGTATAAGCTCATAGATTACAAACACATTAATTGATATAACACCAGTAATGATGGTGTGACCTGGAAGCAGACTCATATGATTTCATAAAGCTTTAAGCCTTATTTAAATGACAGTGGAAAAATATAGGGTTAAATTTATTTTGAAATTTATTATGCCCCCACAGAGTAGGAGCATATAGCGTTGCACTTGTCTGTCCGTACGTCTGTCCGCACTACCGAATAAGGATAGTGGGCCATCTAACTGTAAACAGAACAAAAGAGAACAATAGAGTTCATTCCGTAACAATAGAGTAAGGGGCCATTGGCCCTCTATTAAACAATAAAAAATAACAAAAGAAATGGCCCCTTATTCCATTTCGGCCGGACGTCCGTCCGTCCGTACGTCTCGAAATCTTGTGAATGCAACTCCTCTTAAACCGGATGGCAGATTTTGCTTAAACTTTCAGGGATGAACAACCTTTATATGTAGATGGCAGTAAAGGAAGGAATTTTCGCTGCGACCAAATTTAACAGAATTATGGCCCTTTGTTGATTTTTTCACTATATACTATGTAGAAATTTTGTGAACGCAACTCCTCTTAAACCGGATGGCAGATTTTGCTTAAACTCACAGGGATGATCAACCTTAATATGTAGATGGTGGTAAAGGAAGGAGTTTTCGCTGCGACCAAATTTAACAGAATTATGGCCCTTTGGTGATTTTTTCACTATATACTATGTAGAAATTTTGTGAACGCAACTCCTCTTAAACCGGATGGCATATTTTGCTTAAACTTCCAGGTATGAACAACCTTAATGTGTAGATGGTAGTAAAGGAAGGAATTTTTGCTGCGACCAAATTTAACAGAATTGTGGCCCTTTGTTGATTTTTTCACTATATACCATATAGAAATTTTGTGAACGCAAATCCTCTTAAACCGAATGGCAGATTTTGCTTAAACTTTCAGGGATGAACAACCTTAATGTGTAAATGGTAGTAAAGGAAGGAATTTTTGCTGCAACCAAATTTAACAGAATTATGGCCCTTTGTTGATTTTTTCACTATATACCATATGATATAGAAATTTTGTGAACGCAACTCCTCTTAAACCGGATGGTAGATTTTGCTTAAATTTCCAGAGATGAACAACCTTAATGTGTAGATGGTAGTTAAGGAAGGAATTTTTGCTGCGACCAAATTTAACAGAATTATGGCCCTTTGTTGATTTTTTCACTATATACCATATATATGTTGTCAGTGGGGGCATCCGTGTCCTTTGGACACAGTTCTAGTTTTTTATAGCCTTGTGCATACATGTATCTGTATTAGGCAGTATATAAAAATGAATTTAATGGTGGTCTTAAGTGAACATTTCTGTAATTTTAGAATCTAGTAATGATGATTGGGAGCAAGATTTTGATGTTGATGTCACACCAGAGGATTTAGCTGCTGCCAGTGAACTTGCCCAGAAAATGAACATTTCTGCTTCTGATTATAGTAAAATAACAGGAGAAGAGGTTTGTCATTGACCATATCTTTTTAAGAATGTAACAATGCTATACATGTGTTGTTTTTATTCACCAAGAATAAGGGTAGTATATTAAAATACTCAATGCAACTTTGTGTCATGAATGGCAAGGTAGATCAAGATGGATCTTCATTTTTCTCCTTGACTCTCTTGATAAACTAGAAAGCAAAGCACTGGATGACTTGTATTTACCAAAGAATCGGTATACCATATTCTTGCAGGATATATGGTTTTAACATCTGCAAATGGGGTGGAATTGACAATAGCTTGCATTAACCACTGCTGTCCATTAACAGGGTTAAATCTGAGTCTGAACATTTTTAGTTTTACAGTGCTTGGTTATGTTTAAGGTTTTCCACGACTCTTGTTTTTCCTTTTCAGGAAGATGATTGGGAAAATTGGGACTAAAGTTATCATAGTGCTTATACAAGTGTAAAGGAAAATGGGACTAAGATCATCATGGATTCATGCTGTCATACGGTTAACTGGCTAAATACTTTGTTGATTACAGAAAATTTGATTAGTTCATCATAGTTCATATTTCAGTTGGAATCACAGTCATTTTGAATGCAAAGTAACATGGACATTACATCATCTTGATGAACATACTAGCTACAATGGAAAAATTAGGACCAAATATACTTTGGGATTTGATACATCATATATATAAAACTTGTGGTGGATTTGTTACATTAGTATGGTCCCATTATCATCCTCACTAAATCTTTTAAACTGGGTCTTGCTAAACGTATTGATTAGGTTATTTGTTATCTTGGTTATTAAAATATATTTTTTATATGACATGGCGTACAATGAGGCAGGCAGGGGAAAGATGTGGTCAGGATGTCTGCATGTCAAGGATAATGGTTGCAAGTCCTACTCTGATCACAACCATGTTTCCTCATATAATACTGGTTAGTTCCAGGAAACTGACTGTAGTAATACAGATAAGCTTCAAGCTTTGAATTTATAAGTTCAAGCAAGTGACACAAATGCAGTATGCAAAATCTAGGATTCTCACAAAGAATAAAAGGTCTTTGTTGATACTTGTATCAAAAACTTGATTTTTGGCTTAAATAATGAATATATTTTATGACTAATGGAATTTACTTGTCAACTATGACAAACCTAACTCGTAAGAGTTGTGAAATTCTGACTTAAAACAGAAATATGTTATAATTATTGACTATACAACTAAATAAATGGAACTGAGTAAGTCTCATCTTTTATCATGTTAAACCATGTGTGTTGCTATAGAAATAGGAATAAACATATTAATAGATTTAAAATGTCATGTTCAACATTAATTCCAAACTTATGCAAATATTAATCATTTGTGGGAATTTACTGATAGACATATTTTAATTTTGCAATTGAAATAGGTAAGTTATGTATTTTGTTGAAGTTTTGTTGTTTTTAATTCTATGTTGAGAATATTGTTTGAAGGTGATGTGGCCTATATGAGATAACACTGTGAACATTAATGAAAATAAATTTAACCAAGTGAACTCCAAGTTCCACAGTTAAATATGATTGTTTGAACTGATTTATTAGTATGTAAGGAACTAAAGTAGTTATATGTTCAATTTGTTGTATTTTTTGTTCTTTATTTATTTGCTTTTGTAAATAGAATATACATGTATTGGGTTTAACACCAGAATTATAGGATATATATATTTACATATAGTGATATACATGCAATACTCTGCTTTATGACATTAACTTACACATGAACAGGTCTTTTCCTGTTTATTAACATGTTAGTTATGTGATAAAATTTTCATTTTCAAAGACACCAACTATATTGTAATTACCACAAAGAAGCAAAGAGATTTGTAATATTTTCTGAATATATGTGCTATTGATGAATATGATGCTTGCAAACTGTTATATAGTCTTATTTAGGAGAAGGGTAAACTAGTCTGCAAGAGCAACAGAAAGGACAGAAAAGTTTTTCCTTTGATGTACCGGTATACTCTAGCTTCTGCCTTCCTATTATGTTACCCCTTGTAGTATATCTAGTTCCTGTTATAGTTATATTTCACCCAGTGCTATATTGTTATTGAGTTAAAAGGTATATAAATTTTTGATAATATTCTGAAAAATGTCTGGGAAAAAAGGCTGTCATGTCATGCATACATGTTTTTAATTACATTTCAACCAACTTTAAGCACCAATGTAAGAGAATATTTCATACTTCTTATTCTTACATTTGCTTTTGTTAACAATTAAAATTGTCATGTGAAATACTAGTATATTGTCACTTAACTTGAAGTGGTGTCATGGCCGAGTGGTTAACACTACAGACTTATTTGAAGCAATCTTAGGATCACTAGCTGTATGGGTTCAAACCCTGTCATGGGCAAGCATATTACTGGAACAAGTCAAGAGTACTGTATATGTATTTGCTATTAGCTTCTTACACAATTGAAGAAAACAAACAAAAACTTCTGTATAAACTATCAATTAATATTAATGCATAATTTTTTTGTTCCCGTAAGGCCTTTAGAATATGCTTGAAAAAATACGACTGTATTATAACTATATAAATTATATGGAAAGGTAAAAAATAAAAATGGAATCTACTTTATGTCTTGTTTTTCTTTCACTATCTCATACACTGTGTTATGAAGTCAGATTAAAAACACCACAATGTCTCCAAGAGCATACTAAATTATAAGGGATTATCTATTAGGTAATCTTCCTGATTTATGTCATCTTATACTTTTTAGGAAAGCCAAGTTGGCTTGTTGAAGACCCTGGTCAAATCTTGCTGTTATTGGATATGTATACTAAAATGCATGAGAAGTGGTAAATTATATATTTCCCCATAGTGAATGGTTCATATCATTTACTGATCATTGACCTTTTACATCTGGACCACACACAGTAACAGGAGTATAGACTCGTTTTGTAAATCCGAGAAAATAAACACACTTTGCCAGATATTTCTTTAACAAAGATCTTAAAGAGTTTGTCAATCATTGAATCAGTGACAAAAAATATTGATGATGTTGCACGCTGATACCAGTCATATGACACATCTAAAAACATCGCCAATGAGAAAAGAGTAAATAATTTCTAGCCAGTATGACCTTTATATAAATGACCTCAAGGCCATGCATGCAAGGCTAGAGGTCAATGCCAGGAACTATGACATAATTGAGATGAATTCACTATGATGAAAGGTAAAATGTGTAAGAAAATTTCATAATTTGTTTGACTTAAAACATATCAAATTATTTTTAAAAGAATTTTGAAGTCTTTTTACTTCTGCTCATTATGTTTAGATCTGTACCTGCAGACCTTTTAATGTCTACACAACACTGTTAACCAGACAATATTCCTTTTTCAGGACACATTCACACAGCCTTGCTTTTACAAAATGACATACATACCATTTATGTAAATCTACAAAAACTAGGTGACCCCCAGGATGGGGCAAATTTTTACTCAAGGGTTATGTAGTTATTTTTGTACAGGTCCACTAAGCAGTGCTATATGCCCAATATCTAAACTTTGGGCATTGTAGTTTCAAAAACTAGGGGCATGATAAAAATCAGTTTTGTGGAGTTAATACAGGCAATGCTACATGCCAAATATCTAAGCTCTGGCGCTGTAGTTTCACACAGTAAGACTGAAGTATTTATATATGTCTATATAAAACAAGTGACCCTCAGGGTGGGGCCAATATTGACCCCGAGGGGCATGATTACAAGCAGTTTTGATAATTTCCACAAAGCTCAATATCTAAGCTCTGGGCATTGTGGTTTCACACAATGAGACTGAAATGTGCTTTTCTATATAGTCTATATAAATAAGGTAACTCCCGAGGCAGAGATCTATGTTCTGCACATCATCTCATTATCAGTTATATTTCTCTCTCCTAAATAGTTTTAATTTTTCTATCGATTTAAAAGATACAGAGCGGATACAAGATTGAAATTCATACATTATGACCATAACCTTGACCTGAGGAAGGTCAAAAACTTTCGCTCTGCCCATTGTCCCATTATGGTTAACATTTCTGCCAATAAGTGTCAATTACCTTCCATCGGTTCAACAGATAGAGAGTAGACACAACGTTGCTAACAAATGGACACTCAGACTGACCAGGTGCCTATCAATATACATTGAAATTCTTTTTGATGTATAAAATTATCTGTGAATTCAGGCTGTTGTTTTTTGGATTAAGAAAGAAAATAGAATGTAGGGTAAAGATAAAGCACGACAACTGAATAAGCTTCTCACCTTTTTAATACAAATGTGTAATAATCATACATTTATATGAAAATATTGCTGTAGAAAAAATAGAACACAATATGGTTAGAATATACATAACTAATGAAAGAATAGAAAAGTCTGACAAATAGAAAATATGGAAAATTGTAGACAGCACAATGAGGGAATACATAACATTTAGAGAAAGATTAGAGTTTTATAATTAGCTTTTAAATATGAAAACTATGTGAGTAATATACAAGTATTACAACATTTTTGTTACCCTATGAGTAAACATTGGCTAATGCCAGGAGTAATATACTAGTACTCAGCATCTCAACCCAGTCTGACAAGAGTCTATACTGTTGTTTGCTTTATTGCTTTATATTGAAAGATTTTATATTAAAGTAAATTGGTCTTAAATAAGATGGCACATAATAAAATATTTTAGAAGAAAATATTTTTGTGTAACATAAAAATGTTTCCTCGTATTGAACATTTTCAACATTTTTTTAAAGAATATCATCCGAATGATACATTTCAGTTGTTCTTATTAATATTTGAAATATTTAACAATTAACAGTTCTAACTTGAATGGAATGTCTTTCATTACATTGAGAATAAGGTTAAGAAAGAAACTTCTAAATGTTAACTATGTCTACAAATCAAAATATTACCCCACACTTATCTGGGTGACTTTATACCCGGTAACTTAAGAGACATCATCTTTAGGTCTTAATAATAAATTCTGTTGGTGATAAAATGTGACTTCCAGATAATATGTTCATTAAACTGACCTAGTAAATAATTAAATTATGTTTGCTGTTACTTTTTTAAGTTTAATCTTTAAAATATAAATTGTTTTCCATGTTATTTTACAGGTGCTTAGAAAAATTCACACAACTAAATCTATTACAAAAGTAAAACCAGACAAAAAGTCTAAAATAAATAAGAGCTGTCACTCGGACAGTACACTCAACCATTTCAGTATCGGATAGTAAATTCTTTATAAAGATACTCATGTACATTGTGGGCCTTGGAAAATGGCCTACAATTATGATCCTTAAAACAAGAAATTAGTTAAATAGAACACACAAGAAAAACTTTTACAAGGAAATATCTAATTTCAGAAAAAAAGTATTACTCTGCAACTTTTAGTTATAGTCTTGAACCATGACGTTGGAAGCAAAACCTTAATCAAGTGTTACATCAACTTATAAGTAATCAGATTATTAAATCCATTGTGCTTTTAATAGTCAAAAGTAAAAATTAAAACCTAATTTTTGATAAAATGTTTATCCTCCCAAACATTATCTTGAAAAACAAAGAGAGCATAAACTCACCACTCATAGAAGAAGTCTGTTTCACTAAAAACATTAAAACAAACCCTTAAGCAGCAACAATAACAAGCTCAAATCATCGGTAATTAGCAGTTACATTGTACACAAAGTTATGTCCCGGATAAATGCAGATGAACAGTTAAAAAACTATATGCTATCCTTCTGCGGCATAAAAAGCCTTATTTTCCAAAGTGGAGTGATGGACCTAATCAATTTGTCATGAACACAAGCAAAATTTGTACAGTATGAATCTATGTGAATGTGATGCAATGTAATGAATGTGTGCCAGTGATAGAAAAATCAACATTACATAATACATGTAATAACCTAATATAATTACATACAGAGTAAGCTTTTGACTGTTTTTTTTTCTTCTTTTTATAAATCTTTTTATTTTGGAAGACAAATGTATCAGGATGATAGTATACAGTTTAAAAGTTATACAATTGTACTTGTTTAAAATGACATAATCTGCATATTACACTGAACAAAAAAATTAAACAGCTTTTTACCTGTGCTGTTATATGATAACAAAATTCGTATAAAATCACTATCATGAAAATGAAAATCTTCTGTTCATTTCCCTATAAAAAAATCTTTAAAATATATATACCGGTACTACAGATTTAACATGATACCTAAAACATATAATGATATATGTGAGCATTCACTTGTCTCTATGTTTCTCTCTTTACATACAGAAAATCAAAGAATTCTTATAATAACTTATGCAATGAAATATTGAACCCAAATATAATTAAAAAAACATGATTTTCACCTAATCAAGTTTTTTACATTTTAATGACTTCTTGTTTTGGAAGAGACTATAACTTTAGTAATATTACTGTAAAATATACCAAAAATCTTAAAACAAATATCTACATTCTGTTTCTGTATTCTATTTATCTATGTCAGTAATGAGATTTATTGGATAATTATAGAAGTAACAAATGTGAAAAAAATACACTTGAAAATTGGTAAAAAGAAAAATATTTACTTTGTGTGTATTTAATGTTTTTAAAATGTCATTTAAACTAACATACAGTAAAAGCTCATGGTTATTTCACACATATATACATAATATCATACTAGTTTACAAATAATCACTTAGTCTTAAATAATCACAAAATTAAACAGGGTTCCAAATTTTACAATTTCCTTAAAAATTATTCAAATTTACCTTTTTAGAAATGACAAAATATTATCTTGCCTTTCAATATACACTGTATTAAATTAAAACAACAAACCATGTCTTATCAAACCTTCTGGAATTCTTCATTTTACCCTCAACCAATGAAGAAAAGAAAAAATAAATAAAATACTAACTAAACTATTGCTCATCATAGAATACCAGACTTTACACTATATATAGGTTGTTTTTGACAAAGCAAAAGTGCTATGACCACTAACATTACAAGAAATGTCTGTTTCACTCTGCGAGCTCCAAGTACTAGTGTTGTCCGAGTATGGCTTCTTTGATAAACCTGAACTCCTTCTCCTTTGAGGTGTCTTCGACTCCTCAGAATTTCTCGACACACTCAACTCTGAACCCGTTGATAACTTAGGAGTACTCATAAATCTCTTCCTACTAGAAAGTTCAATACTCAGTCTTCTATCTTGCCCGTATATTGGTGAGAATACTGGAGTGTTTTCAAGAGCTTTCAAAGGCTGTCTTATCTTTCCTTCACTCAAATCTGCTGTAGTTTGTAGTGAGTTATCTGATTCCTCCCAAGGAATTGAATCCGTGTAGGAATGCTTTGACGTTTGGCTACTACTCTCGTCCTGTAGAAATGTTGGAACTGAGAAGTTAAGAGGAGCCTTACCAGCAAGCTGCAAGTAATTTCTCGGTGATCGACTTACAGAATCAGATAAGCCAGTCATTGACAACATTCCTGTATCCCTCGTCCATTGAAATGACGACATATTTTCAACGTCACTAACATAGTTTGATATATTGGACTGCCTTCTTGAGCTTTTTCCAGAATTTGAACTTGAATCAGTGCTTTCTACCAAACCTTCTTGGTTAGAGTGAACAAACTCATCAGTTTTGTAGTCAATTTCATTTTCAATGTTATATGTTTCATCACTACCACTGCTAGTTCTGGACAGTGGACTTTCTACACTTTTCCTTCCCTTTACTGGTTTAAAAGCACTATTGAATCCTGATGTGTTTATCGGTGATTTAGTCCGTGATAATTCCTGTGATCTCAAACTTTCATTTTCAAACACAGAATCTTGGTATATATCACTATGTCTATTGTTAACAAGATTGAAAGTTTTGTCTCCTCTTCCAAGAGGTCCATGTATGTCATCAAGCATTACAGTATCAGACAAACTCTCTGGTGTGGCAACAGGACAAGGACCCAACAGGTGATCTATGTTAACATAGTTAGTATCCCCTGACAGGGAGTTGATGTTTTCATACTCTCCAGTCAAACTGTCCTTACTTTCACTCTTCATACTTCCATATATTGCTCTTCTTGCAGTTATACCAGATTTTCTGACCTTGAAAGGTGACTCTGTATATTCACTGAGATGTGTTTGCCCTAAACTGTCAATATTCTCATATTCTGAAGGTGCAGCACTGATGTGAGGCTTTCTGAACTTGTATGGAGAATCATTGTATTCAGTAATATTTACTGGAGACATCTTCTTCTTTGGAGGACCATTCTTTGTACTTAACTGATACAATTTTTTTGGAGCAAGTCTTTCAATATCATGAACCAGTCTTTCCTTCATTTCCTTATCTAAACTGGCTCTCCATTTATCCCTGCTAAACATGTCACTTCTAGAATCAGATTCAGGGATACAGTCTGCAATATTGCCATCATTTAACTCATTAATGTTTTCATAATTAGGTATTTTGTCTTTATCAAATGTACGATTGACATCAGATTCATTCTTCACACATGATGCATGTGAAAATTCATTGTACAACTCTTGTAATCTATTCTTCTCTGGTTCATTGTTATATAGATATGCTGAAACAGTTTTACTTCCGGACAGATTTAAACTCGAGTTTGATGCATTTGAACTTTGTTTTGTGTAGTTATTAATGTTTTCGTAATCATGAATGCTGTTTTGCGACTTGTCTAGACTTCTTCTACCCTGCATATTGTAGAACTGGTGAGGCAGACTTGCAGTTAATCCATTATCTGAATGATTTAAACTATATCCATCATTCACTGGCATATATGGTAAACTTTCTGTTTTTCTATCAATCATATTGTCTGAAAGGATTGAATGATTTGACCTCTTTAAAGTGTCTGGATCAGACGCCATTGAAAAATTTTCTTCAGATGTTCGTGTGCATTTACTACTAGACATATCGGAGAGGAGAGCAGACAGACTTGACTTCTCCATGTAGCCATTGTTTGACCCCTGCGATACCAAAGAAACAGTGCATTTAGATTCTCCTGATTTGTTATTCAAATCCTCATTACTACTAAGAGTCGGGTCTTTGAAAAACCTTCCTCCTGAGCCTGAAGACCCTGCTGATGATGAACGACGTGACCATCCAATGGGTGGAAGAACTGGAGAGTCTACATTAGAATTCTCATAAAACAATGAAGAAGGTGGCATAATTACATTAGCTTTCTTCGGTCCGATGCTGGTGATAGGTGTTATGTTGTCTTTTAAATCTTTATCATAAACATGATGATTTTCATCAATAACTGGAGTTGAGTTTTTAAATTTTGATGAATCGGCATAAATATCATCATCTAGACTTACTCTTTTACTTGTAACTGCTCTAACTGAAGAAGGTGGACAGATAGATGAAATTTCATTCTCAACTACTGGTGTGGAATGAAACTTGCTTGCATTTATGTCACAAAAATGACTGTAGGCTGGACTTGTAGTGCTCATGTTTGACTCTTCACTTTGAAAACCACTAGAAGTCAGTGACCTATGACCCGAAGCATCATTTGTAGAATGGGATGAAGAAAGTCCTCTATCAGATGAAGCCAAACCTCTGTCTGACAAATATGATGACTGCCTGTCTGAAGGAGAATATTCCCTACTGCTATAACTATCTTTAGATTTTGACATAGAAAATTTATCTGATGAAGAATTTTTCAATGAATCATAATTTCCATGTGACCTTTTCCTTTTGTGAATATCATCTCTTAAACTTGGTGTACTCCGGTTCACATCTGCTCGAGTATCTGATCTATTTCTAGAGTTAGAGGAGCAGTCTGGAAGTTGAAGAGAAACATCAGAAAATGACAGCATTTCAGACTGATTCACAAGGTTACTACTACCACTGAGTGATTCAATGGATTTATCTACACCATTCTTGAAAACAAAAGAATTTGCTGTCTCAGAAAATCCACTGTTATCTTTGCTGTTGCTTTTATTTTGTCTTGGAGAAATGTTGTCTGAATTCAAATTACTGTACGAGAGGGATAAATGTGTTATTCCCCTTAACACATCAGGTGTGACTTTAAATACAGGATTTCTCTCCCCTGACTGATGTAAAGTTGGGTCAGATCCAGTGTTGTTCAGAAGTGATGTCTGCCGTAATCTGCCTTCAGATTCTTCCCACAATCTGCTTGGATCAAGTGGTGAGATACTTGGAGGACCTAATTCCCCTAGAACGAGATGATTAGGTGAGTATATCAAAGATTTAGAGGAGTCATTAGATGTTCTTGTTTGATTCCAGTTTAAACCAGAAATATCCATTTCAGACTTGTTTTGTTCCATTCTTCCATATTGATTCTCTGGTGACAGGGAGAACTTTCCATTTTTACTTGTAGGGGTATTCTGTTTGAGTGTCTGATTGAACAAAATGTCACTGATGGAAGAATTTGAGACAAAAGATGGGTCCAGTTTACACCGTGCAAACATTTCTACAAGATTATAGTCTGGCATAGAATGTTCCCTATCAGAAGCTCTACTAACTCTGCTGAAATCCATTCTGTCTTCTGTTTTGTTCAATTCTGATGCAGACCTTTCCCTGTAACTTCCATGTTCTTGGTAATTTGACCTCCCTGAAGTATGACAGAAGTACTTGTATATTAGAATGTTTTCATTTAACATTTTTCCTCCTTCTGTACTATTAAAAATAACCGATAAATCATACAAAAACACTTATCTTTGAATAATCTTATATGAAATATATGTTATGTGTATGCATAGTCTTTACTACAAAATTCCTGTTACATCAAGGGCCGTCCATAAGACAGTGTGCTTGAATATTTTTAGTGCTTGACAGTAAGAAATGGGGCATCACGCTGTGAAAAGTAACCTGAGAGTTGTGTTAGAAAATCACAGAGAACAAAAGTGTGAAGTTTCAACCCATTCATTTCAGTACAGAAACTAACTTGCACGCATAAGCTTAACCAAAGTGTGATGGGGACACCAATGCTGGGCAGTGTACAAAAACTCTTTTCTTCAAATAGTCGGGCTAAAATTCTAAAAACAAATTCTTACCAAAGAACATCATATACATTTCTTTAGAACAATATATACCACTGCAATCAAAGCATACGGATTACATATAGAAGTATTGTTATATTTTACCCAGTAATGGTTTAGCAGCACTATTACTTCCTGTGGATCCTAATGGGGAAACATGTACATCTACAGGTGTCTCCCTACAGGACACCTTCCTCTGTATACTGATGTCACCGCCCTGGTTCTGGCTGTTGATTGTCTGGTTTCCCGAAGGTTGTAAGGAAGGATCTAGGTGACAATCTGGATGTTCAACAAGACCTTCCTTACTGAGGTCTAGAGAGGCACTCAACCAGAGATTGATTCGAGCCGACGTAGATGAAACATCAAATATTGATGGATGGTTTCCCTTTGAAGATGTTGTATTTTTCATCTATTGTAAAGAAACAAAATAGTTTTAAACTACTGCTTTTACCTTAAAAATACAACTTTATGAAACTGATAAATATTTGTACAATCAAGGACATTTTGTTTATTCTTGAAAAGAAAGTCACATCAATGCAATGTTAGTGTATCTAAAAGTGAGTATATAATGTCTCCTGAAACAAAATTTGTTGTTTTTATCTGTAACTAAATATTACCGGCTTATCTTGCTGAGGTTTCTTGGAAGCCATGCTGGGCTTATACTGGTGTGGAGCAGTGCCAAATGCCAAATTGCCAGGCTTGAGGAAATCTGGTTTCTGACTTGGAATTGGTGCAGGTCCACTTGGATGACAGCATCCATAGTACAATAACATAAATATAGTTCCTAGTCAAAATAAAAAAAATAAGTAACTAAGCATAAAAATAAAGTATACTGAAGAAAATGTAGTCCCTTCAAACAAATGAAAATTGACAAATCTTGTTCCTTATTGACAATATCATAACCCTCCATTTAAAACTTCAAACCTTTCAAGCTAGACTTAGTCAAGTAGAAGAATGTGATTTTCTAACATGAAAACTTTGCATTGAAGTCTTAAGGTCCACCTTTTTATGACCCTGAAGACACATATTACGTTTTAGTGAATACCTTCAATAGTCTTGAAAACTAATTTGTCAACTTCACAAAGAGCCATAATTCAATAAAAATCTATACAAGAGTTAAAGGTCTTAGATAGTGACTTCCAATTATAATCCAAAAATAAGGGTGTTTCAAGTTATTATACTTTTAGTAATTTTGAAATTTATTTTGCACACACCAGATAAACCAAGAATTTGCAAAGCTTACAAATGGCCATTAATCAGTCAAAATCTATGCTAGAGTTATGGGCCTTCAAAAAATGATTGCCAATTCTGGACACTTGTAATAGGAAACATAAGTGCAGTACCTGTGATAATTAAATTTCGAATTTTCTCAAATTGAATAAGATTATAAATTTTATATATTATCAAATAAGAATAATACATACTAGAGTAACTTTGTAAGAAATTGTACCAAGAATAAGAACTCATTCAAATTATATTACAATGGATTACACATGTCAATTATTTTATTTTATTACAATGTTCAGTTGGCTTTTAAGTTGCATCACAATTGTAAGTTATGGCTTTCTAGCTATACTGTTACAGGCAGATTCCAGTTGCCTATCTGGCTATCTTTGACTAGTAACACCAACCTTGTGTTAGCTAGCTACCTATGTTAAAGGTGATCCAATATTTCCAACGTGAATAAGTGCAAAACAAAATCTACAAAATTATATAAACAGTACCTAAGCCAAAAGCTCCAAATACCACTGAGAAAGCAGTGACATCAAACCAGATCGGTCCACTGTGTGATTTGCACATGTACCAAACAGTCATGTAAGCTGCAGTCTCTATCAATGCTAGGACATAGTAGAACACCATTCTGTATCTAGAATTGCCATCTTTTAAGTTCAGGAAACAGAATATGTGTATAGCCGCAGCAACTACAGTGAATAGACGACGTTCACATGGCGTTGAACCAAAGTCTGGTTGTAGCTTTATAATCCAGACAAACATTACCACAAAGTGGACACCTGTATTTTAAGCATAAATTACATGTTATATCATCTTATTTCAAATGTAACTATTTAAAATATTTTGATTAAGACCAAGTTAATGCACATATATACTATACCAAATTTTTCTTTTAAATGTCAAATTTAAAATATTCTCAGTGGTTTAACATTGTTTTATAGATTGATACTCTTCACTTTATCAAATGAGAAAACAGTCAAACTTATCTACTGATAAGAAATATATTCCATTTAACTTAATGGTATGCCAATATATCCATGAAAGCCTGGAGCCAATAAGAACTCAATAAGTAATAAATTCTGTTTTACCTAATGGTATGCCAACATATCCATGAAAGACTGTAGCAAATAAGACTATAGATACAACACGAGCAGTGACCATTCCTGTCTGCCATATCAAATGTGTTACCATGGAAACAAAGCTTCGCTTGTAAAACTTCTTGTATGCCAAGTGTAAAGCATCTGTATATGCTGTTATTGACCATGACACAGAAAACAGAGAAAACACCATTGAAAATCCTGAAATAGAGGATAAAAATTTACTTAATTAACAAAGCTTTTGAAGTTTAAAAATGAATATTCATTTTGTATGTGTTTGTATCCCATATAATATTTTAGGTATACAAGTTAAGGTATCCACCTGGAGTAGCAAACACAGTTTTATTCTAAATATTTCACAGATATAACACATGAACATGATATCCCTTCCAGTTAAACAGTTGTTATCTGGAATTTTTGGCAAGTGAGTTTTTCCAAGCTAATCCCTGGTAAAAAACAAACTTTTACCATTATAGCTTCTTAGTACATCACTGCTTAAACCAGTTGCACTTATTTTTGAAGTTGTAACTTGTAAGTGTAAAAGTTTGTATCCTGAGATTTGCTGGAAAAAAACCCATATATTCAATTATTACCAGATTTATTTATTAGGCCTAGAACTGTTTCCTTCATGCTTGTAGCCCCAAGCAAGGAAGACATATAATGCTGATCAATTTTAAATTCAATGCTGGACAATTCACAATTCCATCACATAGAGGCAAAGGTTTAAATCTCTTACCAGCAAAAATGAAAAATCACTTATCAAATCATACAATGTCAAAAACAATCAAAAACCAAGAATAATACTGCGCACATAGCTCCTCCACTCACCAAGAAGTGTATTGAAGTTCTGTAGGTTTGACAATACTATGTACAGTTGTAGCACTAACTGTGGAGCAGACTCTATAAATGTTTCCACCAATCGTAAGATGCTGATGTCATTGATGGCCCTGTATGCTGCACCTAGATCCTCGCCATTTCCAGACTTCCGGGATTTACGTCCAAGTTGGAACACTTTGAAATACCTACAAACAGAAATAGAATACAAAATGTACATACATGTTAAAAGTTTCTTCTTATTAAAGTGAATGGTCCATAATGGAAGGTTTGTAATACCATAATTTGCATAAATAATTATGTTGATAGTATTTATTATCATATGTGGCAACAAACTGCAAAAAAAGAATGTACATTGATTTTGTTTATAAGAATGAGATTCATAATCTAATAATTATTACTTATCAACAATTTGAACAAAATGACTAAGTAACTTGGGGAAAAAAATTAAGTAAACAAGAGAACCGCTAGGCGGAGCATTATATGCCCGAAAGTGTGTTTTTTTTAGTAAGGATGAGGCATTTGTAAGACATGGGAATTAGCTGTTCATCCTATAAAATTTTACAGCTGTAGGTTGATTAATACTTAAGTTATTAATTATGACCTTAACCTTTGACCTTGTGACCCCAAAATCAATAGGGGTCTTCTACCTTACATGGACAATCATCCTAAGAAGTTTGAATATTGTGGGCCAATTGGAACTTTAATTATGCTCTAGAAACTGTTTTCAGTATTCAGGTAAAAGTGACTTTGACCTTGTGACCCCAAAATCAATAGAGGTCTTCTACCCAATATGGACAATCATCCTATGAAGTTTGAATATTGTGGACCAAATGGAACTTAAGTTATTCTCCGGAAACTGTTTTCAGTTTTAAGGATATAGTGACCTTGACCTTTTGACCCCAAAATCAATAGGGGTCTTCTACCCAATATGGACAATCATCCTATGAAGTTTGAACATTGTGGGCCAAATGGAACTTAAGTTTTGCTCCGGAAACTGTTTTCAGTATCAAGGTAATAGTGACCTTGACCTTTGACCCCAAAATCAATAGGGGTCTTCTACCCAATATGGACAATCATCCTATGAAGTTTGAACATTGTGGGTCAAATGGAACTTAAGTTATGCTCTGGAAATTGTTTTCAGTATCAAGGTAATAGTGACCTTGACCTTTGACCTTGTGACCCCAAAATCAATAGGGGTCTTCTACCTAATATGGACAATCATCCTATATTTTCAGTATTCAGGTAAAAGTGACTTTGACCTTGTGACCCCAAAATCAATAGGGGTCTTCTACCCAATATGGATAATCATCTTATGAAGTTTGAACATTGTGGGTCGAATGGAACTTAAGTTATGCTCTGGAAACTGTTTTCAGTTCTAAGTATATAGTGACCTTGACCTTTGACCCTTTGACCCCAAAATCAATAGGGGTCTTCTACCCAATATGGACACCAAACTAAATTGCTAACGGACGGACGTACGGACAGACAGACGGACACCAGGGGGTATAACATAATATGCCCTTTTGGGCATATAAAAAGGGGGCATGATTTTGCACAGAATATCTGCCCCTTTGAAATTGTGTCACATTTTAATATTCAACAAGAATATATGTATACCTAGTTTGAAAAGGAACAGCTTTGATTTTTTCTGAGAAAAAAAAGTAAAGCTAAGAAATGAGTGTATAAATAAGATATATCAAATGCTATTTTTACAGGAAAGACATTTATTACAATAGTGATATCTTTTTAATTGATAAAAACTAAATCATTCAAAATTACAAAATTATCATTATGTCCATTAAGTATAAAAAAGTAACTCACCTATGGAGAGGTGCCAGGAAAAGAATATGTACAAAGAGCGAGCCAACAGTGAGTGTTCTGTCGGATACATGCCAGTGAAAGCTGAACACTTGCATTAATAGAGCTGCAAGTGCCACAAAACACAAGCTCAATGACCCCCATACTTGATGTCCTTCTGTGAAGAAATATACCAACAGGGCAATATCTGCAAAAGTAAGAAATGCTATTTCTCTCTCAAATCATATGCTTTTCAGTGTTTTAGAGATTGGGAGTGCAAAAAACATTGGGGACTATGCTCTCAATCAATCCTCTACTTTTGTCACTCATCCTTTTAATACTGAAGTTTCACTTTTTTGGTGATTTTACTCTTTTAGCTAAATACATGTACATCGGAAACTATGCATTAAGAGCTTTTGAGTAATACATGAAATATTTGAATGCATAAAATTTCCAAATCTGTGTTTACATTAAACTTGTGTACTGATAATTACTGCCGATGTAGAAGATAAATTGAATGTTTGCAAAGAAGTTAGGGTGTTTATTTATTTTGATTTGTGAATATGATTGCCACAGCCAGGTGATAAACCCGATTTCAATTATTTTACACATAAGAAGAGAGCCTTTATTTAAGATGACACATCATGTGTTAAAAAACACTTAGGTCTCATAGCACTTTAAATTTTGCATCTATTGTCTAGCCAGATTAAAGGATTAACATAATCCAGACATAAGATTTTGCACTTGGCATTAAAACTGCATCAATAGGCAGGTGGTCAAGCATGAAGGTATCAAAATTTAGATTTTGGTGGTCAACTCATCCTGTGGTGACTAAGTCCTATGGTCAACTTGTCAACTGCTCATCAGCTATTTTTCTCCTTCAAATAGATGATAAATTCTTCTTTTAGTATAGTTAAAGACATTTATGAAGTGGGTTAACCGTTACTAGAAAAATCCCAAATCTGAACACAACTGAAATACAAAGACCCTTCATGCCTAATAATAATATACATGTATATATATATATTAATTACTGTAAATATTTACATGGTAATTTGCCCTACAATATTAAAAGCTACTAAAAGAGATATTTAAAAAAAAGAATACATGGATACCCGTTTTTGTTCCATTTTAATTAGAGGGGTTGGTTGATAACTGTTTGGATAAGGGTGAATAATTCTATTGTCAACATTTAGAAATTAAAGTAGTGTCAATATTAATTATGACTGCAACACTGAGTCAGTGACCGATTTTACCAAGACTTAAAGTGATATTACATAGAAGCCGGTCTGGGCTACCATCGACGTCTATAAAATGAAAATTCCTGGCACACAATTTGTTGGGCTACATTTAGTCCCCTTCACATATACTTTAATCCCTTTCACACTTCCTTTGTTCTTTAATTGACATATACTACTTTGATAGTTTACCATTTATGTTGAAAGTTACACATGTATACATTTCTGTATATCAATTTAAATTATATAGCTGCATATTTATCGATTTTTTTTATTTCTGTGTATTAAACATGTTATGTTTACATGTTGTAATAAATTTAATTATAATTATGTTTAAATGTTATATATATATATATATTATTGAAATACTTACTCTATCAATAGACTGATAGTTCAGCAATTTGTCAATATTAGATTGTGAAAAGGGGATTAAAAAATTGAACAGTGGTTAAATTAAAAAAAATAGCCTGGAACCCCGTTGTATCGATCTATTTACCCATAAATCACAACTGCAGTTAAAAAATTTAAATCTCCCTGAATCTTTATTTTGTATCATTTATTTTGATTCTTTTGTCATAATATTTACATGGCAAACATCACTGATATATAGTTTTAAGCTTTGGAATATACGGATATTTACAGACATGTCAAACAGGTTGAAGAATTAGGTCACGCCATTATATCGATGCATTGTGAGAATCGCTCAGTAAGTCAAAGTTTGGGAAGCCTGACCCATCTTTATGCTAGATTTTTCAGTCAATTAGAATCAAAGATGTCTGTTTTAAAATGTCAGCATAATTTTAGGAACTTTCAACAGACAGTAAATGTGTATTTAATAAGAACACACTATTTATAAGTTTATTTATTATCTACAAAGTCTGACGGTACTGGAAACATGTTTATGATCATTTTTACGGCACAAAACGAATGCGAAAGATTTTCGTGACACTGTAGTAAATGTTAACAATCAGAAGGTGGCGTATTTTGCAAAAAATCTTAAGATTTGTAAATAGATCGATACAATGAATAGCACGATACAATGGGGTTCCACTATACATGCTATTTTAATCGGTCCCATTTTAATAACCTTTCAAAACTTTAATGCCGCGATAGACGAAAGAAAAAAATGCTCAAAACGGCATTTAGGTTTAGAAGACAAAACCTCAGATATATAAATCTTATATTTAGCTCGTTGACAAAACCAATGCAGGCAACACTGCACGGGCCACGGCTTCCTGCATACACAACTAACAAATTATCAAACATACTGTACACGTAAATTACCTGTAGCAACATCTGCAATGTAAGTACAAGTTGAAATGAACGCTAAAAAGTAATCATAAAAAGTAAAACGAGGCATTTTAAAACATTTTCTGAGCAAAGGTTTCACATTTTACACACACGTCATGCCATTTTCGCAAGTATATTTTGTTTTTGAAATTGGCGGATATCACGCCAGTTACCGTTAAAAACGAGATTATCAATTTTGGAATTTGAACACCACTAAATTGGGAGTTCCGATTTTGGACTGACAGAGGCCGGAGACCGTTAAAGATGTTATATGTTGAAATAAATTTGTAACTATTTATCTAATTGGTAACTATTTATCTAATAACCATTAATTCTTGTGAATGATAAATATTTTTATTTGAAACAAGTCGACCTTTGGATGTATCAATTTCCGATTGAATTATTCAATTTGATAGGTTGTCAAGATTCCTATAAAATTTTAATGGTAACTTTTTTATTGCTCGCCATTCTGTTCCTTTGTTTAGATCACCTTTAAAGTTATTTTGTGCAATATAATGAACATGGTTCAAAAGATGATACCCAACCGAATAATCTCACGAAGTTAATATGCCAATGATATCGTTGCTGTCAATTTGATTATATAGGGATGGAATTTTGAGTTTGGAACTGATGCTATTTAAAGCTTGTTCGTGGAGAATATACACATATTTCTTGTTGATGACTTTTTCTTTCCTAGTGTGAAGGACTTGGCATTTTGATGATTTGAATTCCATGTCCTACACTTTTTGCCAGATTTGCACCTCATTGAGATCTACTGTACCAATAATTATTTTGAGTCTGAAAAAGAGTTAATGGTAAATGAGTAATGATACAATCTAGGAAATCATTTCTAAGATTTTGTTGTTATGCCATTTAATGTGATAAATTGCATGAGTGAGTTATTGGCCTTGGAATTTTCTTCTTTTTTTTGCGTGATAGGTGCAGGATATGTTAATATTTACATTTGTTCAAATAGAGAGAAATAAAGATTTGTAAATGTTGCAGGCTCGGTTTGATTTAGCCTGCCGTGGACGTTAATGGAAAGTGCAAGTTACCATCCTTGCCCTCTAGCATCAGTTTTTGCAGAATTCAACATTTTACATGAACTGGTTGTTACATTATGGGTATATTTATTAATATGTGCACAGAGCGAGCACTTGTAATATTAAACACAGACACGTATTGCTAGTTCTATCGTTTAATGACCACTGAATGTTCCAAGTATATAAGTGGCGGGAAGACAATGGACATGTGCATTACAGTATAAGATATTATTAAGATTAAACAATATACAACACTGGTAAAATTTGGAATTTTAAAACATCCAAGAAAATAATACGTGTGTCTCAAACGAGAAAACAATGAATGTATTTTTGAAAGGGGATCAGAGGTTATGAAGCCTGCAAATTAAACTCCAATGACCAACCAAATTTCCATTTTGGAGATCATTTAAAAAGTTTCTGGCATTGTGGCGTGTGCAGAAAATACATACAGTCCAACTTACACTTCTGTAAAAGTAGAGAGGCTTTGAATCATTCAAAGAAAATTATATAAAATCGTTATCACAACTTGGCCGTGATGAACGTCCTTCATGGTTACATCTGCATTCATATAAAAGATATGTTCTGGTATGTCACCAAATATTAACTTTTTTATCAAATAAAATGGATCAAAGATATACAATAATTTGTATCAAAGATATATAATAAATTGTACAATACAGTTAATGCAAAGAACAACCAAGTTGGTTAACCTAAACGGCATATACTCGTATACCGTCAATTTGTGAGTATTCTTAGAAGAACCATGCGAATTGTTCCCTGTTCATATACATACATTTACACAGTGAGTGTTTTAGCATTCTTGTCGGAGGTATTAAAAATTTACATTTTCACATAAATAAGTATTGATTTTCTGTATATTTAGCATTTTCACATGACATTCCATACATTATTTTCACCTAGTCAAACATGTACAATCCACGTTATGCACAAAGAATGCGTACTGACTCAAAATTATGAAGTTTCCATATCTACATATTCAGAATGATGAGTGAAGTAAAATGATCAGAAACAATAATTACTCATATTGTATAGAGATCTGCTAATAAGATTCTCTTTTCCTTATTTATATAAATTAATGATTATTTCAATCTATCAATGATAATGTATTGATAAGAATAAATATGGGGAGGAAAAGTCTGCACATATAGCTTAAGATCTTCAGCGTTCCCCGTTATTTTACTGTGGCAAGACGTCTACTTCAGAAAAAAAGTTTAAAAGCGGCTTATAATGTTTTGGAAGCCAGAACTAGTTTCAGTGTATACCTTGTAAACAATGATCTATGATACAAAAAATATAAAATAAGCACATTGGAAAGATGCATCATGTGATTACTTTATCATTCAAAAGATTCAAGCAATAGTATCTGTGAAATCCAACAAGTAAATGACGAAAAAGACATGGGCGGGATGTTTGATTGCAAAATAAACAAATTTAAGTACATGTAGTAAAGTGAATAAAGCAAACAGAAAGCTAGGACATATAGTAAATTTATTTACGTATATGAACAAAGAAATGTTTCTTCAACTTTATAACTATCTTGGAAGGCCTCATCCTTAATATAGCTCCGTAAAATGGTCACCTAAATTAAAAAAAAGATGCAATCTCCAAAGAAGAGCTACTAGAGTACTATGTGAATTATCTGGCAAAGAATATAGCGAAAGACTGTTACACTTTTGCATCCCAACCTAGAATACAGAATAGAGCAGATACATGTATGATAAACTCGTACAAAATAATTAACAAAATTGATAAAAAAAGACACTAGAAAACATACATTCAGTCATGGAGTTGTAGATTCGTGGAACACGTTAAATCCCGAGGTCGTATATAGAAGCTACATCATTGAATTCATTCAAGGCAAAATAGAATAGCTATGGATTTGTTCAAAATATGTTCAATGCAAAGTGAATTATCAAACCCAGTGACCAAGTTAAAATAATCAGATTGGCAATATATGAACCTGTCGCGTTCAAGTAGTTTTTAACTATTAATGATATGTGTAAATATAATCTATAAAGATGTAAATAAACTAAATCTCGTGTATATAATAAAAATTGATGTAAATACAAATAAAACATTTACAATAAGATGGAAATCCTCACAAAGGAGCTGGAAGAAAATTAAAAAAACAACGACAACTCCAAAACGGCCCAACTTAGCATCCTTGAAGATGTTCAGGCCTGAAAAACTACACGAACTTCGTGAAAAAGAGAGAATTGTCATTTAATTCTGACACACTCACGATTAGTTCTGGCTTCCATAACTTTATATGTCTTTTTTATTTTGACGTTGTGCGACAGTACTTTAAAACCTGTTCGCTGAAGTATCGACAAGACGACCGTCGAAGATTAATCACCGGAGACCGTCGATAAGTTAAATAGGAGTGTTCGACCTAAAAACAGACTCGAGCAATTGCATGAAAACACACGTTTAAAAGCATTTTATTTATTTGTCATTGTACTTTTATGTTTTTAGTATCACCTATTAGGGTTGATTTTTAAAAATAAAGTAATTTATTTTGCTGTGGTATTGGAATGAATAACAAATATTGCTATTGTTATCAGTTTTCGCGATAATCAAATTTGTTTATTTTCTAAATATGAGATTACCTCCTCTACCCACGATAGGAGATGTTGTTCGTCTGCATAAACTTTCAGCTGTTAAAAAACTTTCACAGAACTTCATTATGGACATGTCACTTAACAGGAAAATTGTACAGTATGCTGGTAAATTGGATGGCTGTCACGTATGCGAGGTTGGCCCAGGTCCAGGGGGTATTACAAGGGCAATTCTAGAACGGGATATCGCTCACTTACATGTCATTGAAAAGGATCGAAGATTTTTGCCCGGATTAGAGGTATAGAGTTTTAATTTTTGAAATTCTATCCAGTGTCCTACATGTATATTCTATCCTATCTCCAATATCCTGTCCTATAGCCTTTCCTATCTCCCTTCTTTTATCCTATTTTCTATCTCTTATCATAACCAGTATTATGGGACATGCAACTTAATTCATCAAAATGCCAGGTTATCTAAATCACAAAACGAAAAACAGTCATTCCAACACAATACCTCCTACATAACACCACATTAGAAACAGTTTCATCTGCAAAATACCTTGGCATTACAATATCAAATGATCTAACATGGAACAAACAACAAACACATAAACAGCATCACAACAAAGGCGAATCAAACACTTGGTTTTCTACGCCGAAACATCAAAGTTCACTCAGAAAGGTTAAAGTCAACCGCATACAAGACACTTGTCAGGTCCCAGCTCGAGTACAGCTCCACGGTCTGGTCCCCCTACACAGGAACTCTCATTGATCAGATAGAGTCCATCCAGAGAAGGGCTGCTAGGTGGGCCAAATATTACTTCGGCCGTGTGTCAAGTGTCATTGACATGTTGACTTCCCTTCAACGTATTGACCAATGCCTGGTCGTACGTCTCCCTAAAATACCTATTCTGTTTTTAACCTGTTTTAACAATATACTCATTTCCATTACTTTTATATTCTTTTATTTCAGCTCTTTGACTAACATTCTTGTCGGTCCCCAGCAGGGGTTTGACTATAAAGGAAGATAGATAGATAGATTATATATCCTATCAACATGTATCTTATCTTGTCATGTCCAAACCTTTCCAATTTTATTATATCATATCCTATATTTATCTCATACATGTATGGTTTTATCTCAGATCCTTGTCCTTGATCCCCTTTCCCTTCCCCTCCTACCCACTCCTTTCCCCTCCTTACAGTTTAAGGAATTTGCTTGTCAGACTTGAGTCAAATTTAATATGATTATGTTTTGACAAAATAGGAATTAGTTTTCATAGCTTTTATAGCTGGGCTTTTAGAGGATTAGTAGAGCTTTAGATAGTGACTGCCAATAGTAGGACCTTAGATAGTGACCTCCAATTATGTTGGCATCAGCATAACACTTGGTTACAGTTTTTCATGTAACATCATATCCCAATAACCATTTATGATATTTGCATACACATGTAACTTCACAAACATATTTGATTATATAATATTGTTAATACATTTGTACCTCTAATGGTAATGAAGATTGATGTTGCACAAAAACTTTTCTAAATTTAAACAAGGATCATAATTCTGTCAAAACCCATGAAAGAGTAATGGACCTTGGAAAGTGACCTACATGTACATAATGTAACATTTATTATCCTGCAAACTTGTATTAAGTTTTAAGTAAATATTTTTAGTTCTTCACCTGAAACTTAGTACATGTCTTTGAGATTATAATTGGAGGTCTCTATGGTAAGGCCCACTACTCTGACATGGCCCATGACTCTGACATGGAATGTGCCTGAATTATGGCCCTGTGTGAATTTAGAAAGATTTTGGTTTAAGTTTTGCTTGCAATATTAATCTTTCATAAAACTACTGATTGTATTCACTTGAAACTTGATTTATGCTTTTGCATTACCATTCATGGTCACTTTCAAAGACCCAATAGTCTGGCATGGAATTTTTATTAAATTAAGGCCCTTTGTAAACATAACAAAATTCTTTGGTCACTATCCAAGACTCATTACTATGTTATGTACATTATTTGTATTTTGTGAATGAAATCTTCCTCTTTGTTAATTCCTACATTATCCAAGCTCTGATTATGCTATCACACATTGGAAATAGTCCAGCATGCTGTTCTATTAAAAGCTTTTGTTTTGTTTGCATTTGCATTTATTCTGTATAAAGTTTACAGCCTCTTAATAAATAAATTTAGTAAATGCTGATAGCTATTAAAACCTTTTGATCCGTTTTCAAAAATTAGCTGTTTATGTATTATTGAATGTTAGAATGATAAAGGTAGTTTTTAATAAGAGTAAGGACTAAGGTCATTTTTCTTGTAGCCATACATAATATACATCTGGTTATGGAAATTCCTACATAACTACACAGACAAAAGGAAAATACATATTTTCTCTAATCAACTCATATGTAGGTTCACCGTTGCCATGTAACATTAACAGTTATAATTTTACATGGAACTGAACCAGAAAAAAGTAGAATAAAATGATCTTTAATTCATGAACAATAAATATATTTAGATGTTTCATGCTAATAAAGTATACTGTTTGAAGCATCAACCATTTTATTTCAAACATCTTAAAATGTAACCAATGCACTTCCAGTATTTTCTCCACATGATTCCAATATACATCATTATTCATAGATCCCTGACCTGTCCAATTCTTATTATCAAATTAGTGGATACAATAAAAATTTCACCACAACATATTTGTTAACAAAACATGTCAATGTTTGTGGGTAAATTTATTGTTATTCAAATGAAAGGTCAGAGTAAGGATCTATCAATTGAATCTATTCTTATCAATTTAGCCTTGTTTTCATTTCCAGAGTCCAAACCTGTATTTAATGCATGTTGTACCTAAAGTAACTGTATCTTTAACTGTAACTGCACCTTGTCCAATATAGGTTAGAAATAATAACTAGCTGTCCTTTATATAGAATTCTGCAGTATTGTACTGAACAATGTACATTTTGTATAATAACCTCATAATTTTTAATGTTGTAGATGCTTGCAAATGCATCAGGATGTTTGACTGTCCATCAAGGAGATGTTCTAAGATTTGATATGGGCAATCTTTTTCCTGAGGAATGTGTGAGACCCTGGTCAGATAATGAGCCTCATCTTCATATCATAGGAAACTTACCTTTCAATGTGGCGACACCTTTAATATTCCAATACATGGAAGCTATATCAAACAGAACAGGGGCATGGAGATATGGAAGGACAAGAATGACATTGACATTTCAAAAGGAAGTAGCTGAAAGAATGGTTGCAACAACCCATTCAAAACAAAGAAGCCGTTTGTCCTTGGATATTCAAAATTTATGTGAAGTTAAACTGAAGAAAATTATACCTGGTATGAAAATTTTATTGACTTTCTTTTTTAAACTTGAAATTTTTCTGTTATTTTTTAAATGAAAATACACATATTATATCAAGATCTAATATCTATATTCCACACCATATGACACCCTTAAAATGTGTATTGATGTTATATTGATATGCCTATTTTAAAGAAAATAATAATTCTTTTGTTTTTATTTGTTTGGGTTGTCAAACAAATAATGGTAGCTAAATTTCAGACCCTGATATGGTTATTTGCAAAATCCGCAAGTAGTCCATCACGAACTCCTCGAAGCGGTTACTTCCCTTTATAAGTACACTAACACCGAAAAATTAAGGGGAAATCACTGCGTAAAGATTGTCAAATGACAGGCGCTTTAATTTTCTAACCTTATGATCATGTCATTTTCTGAATAGGTAGTGCATTTGTGCCTTCACCTGAAGTTGATGTAGGAGTTGTTCATCTAGTTCCACGTAAGAAACCCCGGATAGATCTACCCTACAGATTAATAAAAAAAGTGAATAGACACTTATTCCATTACAGGCAAAAAATGTGCAAGAATTCATTGTGGTAAGCAAAAACTCTTTTCATATTTAGATATATAAAATTATAAATTTAAGTTAATATATTCACATTCACTTAAGTATCAATTGAAGGGTCTCTATGGTTGAGTCACCTCTGAGACATTTGCCCCTTTCCATGGAGACATTTGCCCCTCTCCTCAGAGACATTTGCCCTACTTCTCTGAGACATTTGCCCCTCTCCTCGGAGACATTTGCCCCTCTCCTCTGAGACATTTGCCCCTCTCCTCTGAGACATTTGCCCCTCTCCTCGGAGACATTTACCCTCTCCTCTGAGACATTTGCCCTTCTCCTCTGTAGGTCAAAGAAATGTCAGATTCTTTATGTGAGGAAGCAGTCAAGCTAATTTATTCCAGGTTGATGGTTCTAACCAGGTGCCCACTTTTGCCTTAAAATGTGTAAAGCTATATCTCAGTTTACAATATTTTTGTTTGAATTTTGAAAAAGAATAATTCCAAAATGCTTGTATGAAAGAAATATGTTAGTATTTTTGCCTTTTGAGGAAAAGTGGCATGCATGAAATCGTTGCTAAATGGCTAAAAACCTACATGTACTTAAAATAGCAGCATAATATTTTGTTCCTGAAAAATTTCATTCTGTTTACATACACTGACACAAACTTCATGTGTGTTGAATAACAGAAACATTTTAAGCAACAACTCTTACAAGAATCAACCATAAGATTATTGAAACAGCATAATTTTAATGTTTTTAATTTTAGTTCAGTTAACATACATGGAGAGGCTTTTCAGCTGTTCATTAAGTATAGAAAGTATGGTCCATTTAGTTTAAGATGAATTAATGCTTTTTAAACAACTTCTGTTCAGAGAAATAAAATATATCCTCATAAAAAAACAATGTATTGCTTGTTTCCTACAGAGATCCTTCATGTCCAAATAAATTGGCCAGTTATTCAAGCAAATAGAAAATAAGATTCTAAACAGTGACCGTAGCATTTCTTTTGAATAATTTTATTAAAAATGGTGATATATGCCAGTGATTATTTTCAAGGCCAATTTGGGGTCGAAATTCAGCCCCATTGCCCTCTCCAGAAAGTATATATGTTCCCCTATTTCTGAAAAATAAAATCCCCTATTACAATAGTGAGACTGAGTAGGACTTTAAATAATGGTATTATATCACAGCTTGACAAAATTGGACTGTTTTATCTGTTTATAACTCTCCCCTTTTTCCCTTTCACAATACAATTTTCCCTCTTCATTGGCCCTGCCACCATTGTCCTAAAAGTGAAAAAACAAACAAACAAAAAACACAAAAAAAACACAACACTGTATGCATTGCATTGCTTTCGGCTCATACTTTGAGCTTTAAGCAAATTTTATTTTGGTAGCCTTATGTTTAGCAGCAAATGTTATAAATCACAATTTGACTGTTGTAAAAATCTCAAAACATCTTAAAGTTTACAACACTTTATTTTTCAGTACTTTATTTCCGGCAGATCAACCAGAACTTGTGATAGAACTATTGGAGGACGCAAATATCAACCCTGCTAAAAAATCAGTAGACTTTACAATGAATCAAATTGACCGTTTGTGTCATTCATATAACAAAATATGCCAGCGCTTGCCTTACATATATGATTATGAATACAGAGACCCTAAGAGTTTAAAACACTATAAAGAATTGAGTGAACTAGAAAAAGAGTTACAATATAGACCTACATTTGATGATGATGATTTAATAACTGACAGGGATTTATTAGATGACAACGATTTAGAATTTGATCATGTTGAAGAAAGTGAAACTATATAATATTGAAGAGCTAAAAGATGGACTAAGCTGATCTGTTTAAAGGCAACAAGTTTTTGCTAAACTATAAAAGCTAGTGACTTAAAAACTTCATAGGATGATAGATCTCATTGAAAAGAAGTGCAGTGCACCAAAAACCAGTATTCTGTACTTCATGATTTTTGAGTTATTGCCCTTTGTTAATTTTCATACTTTACTTTTATCTGTCTTAGTTTTTTATACACATTACTTTAATAATTAAAGAAATAAAGGGTTTGAAAATAATAGGTCTTACATGTAGGGTTTTTTTTTAAAAAACAGTTGCCATATTATTATACAGATAAGCTTGCCAGTATTATCAGTTTCTGAAAAACATCAGACTAACTTATTGTAAGTCAAGTTTTATAATTTTACTAAAAAATATGTTCGCACTCTTTTTTTAATATTGACAAAGCATTGGTGAAGTTTTTTTGGTTTAATTTGGATAATGTTTATCAACTGTTGTTAACTATAGTGAAATGTAATAAATTACTTAGAAATAAATTTATCTAAGATGCCAGTAACTGGATGTGCATTTTAGCCTTCTCTTTAAAGTTCTATATAGTCTGGTTTGTTGTGAAAGGAGCTTAAATATTTTGTGTAAAGGTTATATGCATATTATCTTATGATGTGCTTAAAATGAGCTTGCAAGTTCTGGATATCAATTGGCATGAAATGTATGGTAAGTAGTAGATAAATATGTTGTTTTTAAATCTAACCTTAAATTCTATATAGGTTAGAAAATCTTTGATCTTACTAACTTTTAATGTTTTCATGACTGAATTAAGTATATATCTTAGATTGTTTTATTATTGAATTAAGTGAAACATAAGGGAGATAATGATGTTAGTCCTCTATCAATACAGGAAATGTGATTATCTTTCCTGTATTGGTTTAATGGGTTATCATCAATATTACAGGAGTGAGAGGTCAAAGGTCATGGTACAAGTGGGTGGATAGCATTATGTAGCAAAAATAAACTTTAAAAGTAAGTTTCAACTGCTTATCATTGACTTCATTCTTTTCTAAATAGTTTTCTTGTCTCCTCATTTGGTCATGTACAGTTTGTACTAATTACTGTATAATTTGTTTAATCTAAAATAAGGAAGATAATATATTGTAACTGTGTGACTTTGTACTGTTTGAAATCATTTTACATTGTTTATCTTCTAGAAATTCTCCACATACGTAAATACATTGTTATACTATTGTTTGAGCATTGAATTAAAAAAGTATCATGCTATTTACCAGTTTTCCATCCTATAGGATGTTTTTATTGTATCATAATAATTTAAATTGAAATTAGGATGTAATTTTACCATCTATACTGTTATACTGAGTTGCATTTTTATTTCAAGGAATCTTTGGCTTTGTTTGAAAAAGTGAATGTGGAATTTACATTCTTTTTTATGTTCTTTTTCCCAAAGTTAACTGTGTTGCTTCGGGTATAACTTGTTCAGTTTTTCTTTTTGTTCACTTTTTGTTCACTTCATGCAATTAAAGGGGTCATTCTTATCATTTTACTTTGTGTATAATTTGTCTAAAGGTAAATAATATTATATGTTGATGAATTATTTCAGTCATTTTACTGTATAATTTCTAGGAATAATTTCTTAAAATTTTTCTTCTTAATAATTTTGATAACTACACATTAACTGACTTTATTGATGTTTTTTTTTTAAAGATTTAAGACTAGTAATGTAATGATATTATGTTATTTTGTTTAGATAATTGGTCAAATAGATACAGAAGATGAGTGGTTCAGAAGAGAATAAAGATTCCATCAAATGTGTCTCAATATCTGACACACAGACCTGGGAGAAGGAGAAAAAGTTTGTGGTATGTACATTTTGTTCTGTCATATGGGTACTGATAAACTGTATTGTGTTTGTGGGTTGTCATATGGTACAGATTACCTGTATTGTGTTTGTGGGTTGTCATAAGGTACAGATTACCTGTATTGTGTTTGTGGGTTGTCATATGGTACAGATTACCTAGATGTATTGTGTTTGGGGGTTGTCATACGGTACAGATTACCTGTATTGTGTTTGTGGGTTGTCATATGGTACAGATTACCTAAATGTATTGTGTTTGTGGGTTGTCATATGGTACAGATTACCTGTATTGTGTTTGTGGGTTGTCATAAGGTACAGATTACCTGTATTGTGTTTGTGGGTTGTCATATTGTACAGATTACCAGTATTATGTTTGTGGGTTGTCATACGGTACAAATTACCTGTATTGTGTTTGTGAGTTGTCATACAGTACAAATTACCTTATTATGTTTGTGGGTTGTCATACAGTACAAATTACTTGTATTGTGTTTGTGGGTTGTCATATATGTACAGATTACCTGTATTGTGTTTGTGGGTTGTCATATATGTACAGATTACCTGTATTGTGTTTGTGGGTTGTCATATGGTACGGATTACCTGTATTGTGTTTGTGGGTTGTCATACGGTACAAATTACCTGTATTGTGTTTGTGGGTTTTCATACGGTACAAATTACCTGTATTGTGTTTGTGGGTTTTCATATGGTACAGATTACCTGTATTATGTTTGTGGGTTGTCATATGGTACGGATTACCTGTATTGTGTTTGTGGGTTTTCATATGGTACAAATTACCTGTATTGTGTTTGTGGGTTTTCATACGGTACAAATTACCTGTATTGTGTTTGTGGGTTTTCATACAGTACAAATTACCTGTATTGTGTTTGTGGGTTGTCATACGGTACAGATTACCTGTATTGTGTTTGTGGGTTGTCATATGGTACAGATTACCTGTATTATGTTTGTGGGTTGTCATATGGTACAGATTACCTAGATGTATTGTGTTTGGGGGTTGTCATAGGGTACATATTACCTGTACTGTGTTTGTGGGTTGTCATACGGTACAAATTACCTGTATTGTGTTTGTGGGTTGTCATATATGTACAGATTACCTGTATTGTGTTTGTGGGTTGTCATACGGTACAGATTACCTGTATTGTGTTTGTTATAAACAGTAAAGTTATATTGTTTCCATGTTTTTCTAGTTGTTTCTCAGTAGAGTTGTAACATAAAATGACTGTTATTTAACCATGTTCAGAGTTTTAGTGATTAGTATTTGAAATACTTTGCAATGTAGAAAGTGTAGTTTTTCATAATGCACTTACTGACTATTTTGTTGTGATATTGTTGATATAAAAATTCAGCAAGAGTTAATATCTAACATGTATAATATTGTATACAATAGCTGTTTCATTATACACATTTTTACTGAGTTATTTCCCTTTGACTTTTATACACAAAATTATACCTGCTTAAAATATTATTCATTGGCCATAAATATCTTTTTAAGTGATTGTGTTAACATGAAAAAGTTTATAGAAATAAATAAAACATATCTGATGTCAAATAATCAGAGAATAGGTTGTGACAAAATTTTATTTGCCTCACAGAAGATGGTTTGTACAGCAGTTTTCAAAATGATTATTTAAGTTTACATTACTTATGGCTTACTGAACCAGAGTCTGAGACAATAAATAAATAGATGAAAAAATTTTACAACCCTAAACTAAGATTTCCGGTATTTTATTGGTCTGAAACCTGCACAGAAAGTAAACAGGCCAATGAAAATCCTGAGATTTGAGACAGAGCTCAGAAAAGTGTTCCATTTATCAATAAAAAAAAAATCAACAAAACTGAAAGCTTTGTATGCCGACAGTAATATATATTTTTTTCATGAAAGCTAGTACATGTATTATTTTTTGCTGGACTCTTCCATGAATAGGGAGAGTTATTGTACCCACTTTTTCAGTGCAAGTTTGTATCTCCAAACTACTAAGGGAATGGATTGATACTGTGAGGCAAAATAGGAGGTCACTTTCCAAGGCCCATAACTCTAACATGGATTTGACAGTATTATGGCCCTTTTTGAACTTCTACATTATCATCAAGACTCTTGTTTTACTATAAAGCATTGAGAAAAGTTGAGCACACTGTCCTCCTGACATCAAAATACAAAAATATTTCATTATTTATTGTACTTCTATATCTAATTACCTTTGAAGTAATTATATAGCACATGACAGCCGCCTACTCTATCGAGACAGACTAATTTAAATATGTTATTTCCTGATTTCATATTAAAATTTTAAAGTTTATATTGAAGGACATTTATTGTGACATTGCGACAATTTAGCTGCAGGTTCTTGTTACATTATATTTAATTGAAAAGAAATTCATGTATTTAATTGGAAAGGATTTTAATCATATTCTATACTGTATTTCACTGAACTTAATTGAATTTTTCTTCTCCCATGCTGAATTGAATTTTTCCTTCCTTGTGCTGCAATAAAGTATAACTTGCTCTTACCAACACTTGTTTAATTATATAAGGACATACTGCATACTTGAGTGAACATTATAACAGAGTGCCAGGGTATGAGCTTTTGATTAAATTCATATACACAAAGGTGATGTCATGTACAAATAGTGTTTCTTGTGAATATATGCAAAATGATCCGTGCAAATAATCCTTGCAATGTTCATAAGTTACTATATACTAGTATGATAACCTCCCATAATTGACATATCCCACTACTAAAAGGCCTTGTCCCAAGTGTTGGTATCATAGCATAATTAATTTTTTACTTTGTTCAGTTTCTTCAAAAGATCAGCTGTTCAAAATTAAACTAAAGAAAAATAAATGGTTTAATGCAAAAGTAAGTCTGTTATAACCATATTTTGTAGGGAAAAACATTATACGAAGTAATTAACGTTGTTGAAAGGAATGAGTCTTTATTTTTGTCAGTTTCTGAGGTATTAGGAAGAGTGCAAGATTTATTTCTCACTTTGTTTTTTAACATCATATTTGTAGATATCTGCCCAAGAGCCATAACTTAAGCTTGAATTTTGACAGAGATTTTCACCTTGACAGAGATTTTCACCTTTGTGAACTTTGAAAGTATAAACATTTATCCATTTGGATCAAACTGCTGGTTATTCCTTAATATTCATACCTCGCAAATAGTACAGATTGAAAGTAGTCCTAACAGTAAACACATGACTTTTAATGTAACAAATAGACAAAATAGACAAAAACTAAGGGTGTAATCTTCATATAATGTATATATTTGCCATCAATTGGAAAATAAAAGTCCATAATTATTAGAAAAATAAAATCAAATGATAATGAAATTCAATTTGAGAATGACGATAAAATTTACCTAATTTTAGTCAAGTTTTACACAATATAATGAAATAAACTAAAAAAAAAAAAGATCCAAGCATTTACTTACTATTTATTGACATTTATAAGTTTGTTATAAAATATAAATACTGTTTCCGTTAATCTATGTAGTCATGCTATTGTGTTTGAAGTTTTTATCCAAAGTTTGACAGAAAGGGTTGTATCCTGTTTGCTGTTTAGATTTATTATTTTAATATAGAAACAATTAACAGTTCATATAGCATGTTCAAATTTAGGATGGTAAATGTTTAATTCAAGGACACTAGGTTATAACCTTGTCATTGCTTCCTACTCACATTGGAAAAAGTTCAAATTGGCTTGAATATGCATTATGAAATATGAAATGTTTCAAGTTATGAAAACAATGCCAAAATGTGTGGTATGTTTTAGAACAATAGGCACTGAGGAAGTATACTAACTTTCCTTGTCATCCTTTTTATGTGCTGTGTTTGGAATTTTTCTTAACACTTTATATAGTAGAAGAAGGAAAGGGGCTTACCGTAACTTATGGCAGGGTCAAGGGAGAAAACCCATGAAAACATTTTACATAAGGTAATTTGATATAATTTTCCATAATATGGATAATTTCTGATTTTTTTCCCCAAATTATTGTGTGAATTATAAATGATGCTTTTATAAGTACTGTTTTTTGTAGTTTGCAAAACAATTTTATATGATTTATAACTTATAAGTTATAACTAATAGAATATTCAATTCATTTGGTTGGATAATGACATATTGTTGAAATAGTAGTGAGGTTTAAAGTCCTGCTTTATAATTATGTCTCCCAAAATTTTTGGGAGACATATTGTTTTTGCCTTCACTGTCTGTCTGTCTGGTTGTCCGAGCAAACATTTTGGGTTTAGGGGCTATATAATGGTAAAGAGAACAAAAAAGAACAATAAGTTCATTCCGTGATCAAAGGGTTTATGGGCTAGTAGCCCCTAAACAGACAACAGAAAATAACAAAGAAAATAACCCCTAAACCCAAAATGTTGGAGCGTCTGTCCCCATAAGGCTTGTCCCGCCTTCATAGGTCAAACTACTGGTGGGATTTCAATGAAACTTCACAGGATGGAACAGTACCATACCTTATTGTGCATATTGCCAGCATGTTCTGCTTCACTGCACTAAATTGCCACAAGAGCTATAAATAGAAAAATCTTGTCCCGGTTTCACAGGTCAAGCTACTGATGGCATTTCAATGAAAACTTCACACGAGTGTTCAGTACCATCCCTTGCCATGCATTTCGCAGGCAATGTTCTGCTTCGCTGCACAAAATGACTGCCAGAGCTGAAAATAGAAAAATCCTGTCCACCTATCACAGGTCAAAATGTTGGCAATTTCCACCATAATTTACAGGATACATAGTTTTGGGAGACATATGTTTTTGTGACAAAAAACCCTTCTAGTTATATTTTCATTTGTCCAAAATAAAATGGTGCCTTATAAACAACTTTTAAAACAACTTTCAAAATTTTTAGAGAAGTTGAATACAATAATGGGAAATATTGTATCAACAAGAGAGGAATATGTACATTGTGTGTTGTAATCAATATACAATTTTCTTTGTGTTCTGTGTTTGTATTTGGCATAGTGGTAA